CAGAAAAACTTGGTATTGCCAAAAGTACCAGATCAAAGCTGTTACTACAGCAGACAGCTATACCTATATAATTTTACAATAGTACAAGGATCTTCCAAAGACCTTTTGAATAAAAACACAACGTTCTGCTGTGTGGACGGAAGATGAAAATGCAAAAGGTGCAAATCAGATAGCATCCGCGGTCTATGACCGATTGAATAAAAGTGATTTGACGAACATTTCTCACGTACGTTTAGTAGCGGATGGTTGCCCTGAACAAAATAAAAATCTCGTGATGGTGTCACTATGCTCAAAATTGATTCTCCAGAATCCGTCAATAAAAAAAATGGAGTTAGTATTTCCGGTTACCGGACATTCCTTCATGCCCGCTGACAGGGTGTTCGGAAAAATCGAAAAAAAAGAAAAAAAGAAAAGAAGTTATCACGGATCCTACAGAATATGTTGACCTGATCAAAGAAAATACGACAGTGTGGGGGATCAGTGCAAGTAAAACCCAATAAACGATGATATCGAAACACATTTGATATGGATATTATATTTTAACACCTATGACATGTACAATTCAATAGTCAGTTGTTTTTTTTATGACACATATAATATAGCCTGTAGACATGCATAGATAGTGGCTACGGAGATGTGTTTCAAGTCTCGGACCAGCGAGGGGTTTGGTTAGCATGTCTGCCTCCATCTTCTCGGTTGGAAGATATCTAACCTTTATTTTTTCTTCTTGAAAACAATTTCTAATGAAATGCATTTTTAGGTCAATGTGTTTGGATTTTGATGTCACCATATTATTCTGACTAAGTTTTAGGGCAGCTTGATTGTCATTCAATATGACTATGCTCTTATAACTGATCCCTACGCCTTTTAAAATACCTTTTAGGTAGAGGATTCGATCCCGGTCGATTTTTATAATCCCGGGATTTCGGGATTATCCATAGTTAATCTCGGGATCCCGGGATAGTCCCGGGATTGTATTGGCAATGGAAAGTGGTAACAAAAAGACAGTAAAACATATCAAAAATTTTTTTTGTTTATCATTTAGTTTTGTGAGGACATAGAATATTTAAGTTTTAAATCTCCAAAAAGGCGGTTAACCAAAATTATACTTTCTTCTTATAAAATAAACAAACTAGTGCCTAGTTTGTTTTGTGTTTCGGTAAATAATTTATGAAACTAACAATAAACTTCAAAAAATCAACTTCTTTAGACTTATTAAGATAAACTATAAAAAAAACTATATGCTTAAGAGACCAATGTTTATAGATACCTACTCATATTTTTTAATTAAATTGCCCAGAAACTTTATAAATTACACACTTTTACGCATAATCCAGAACCGGTCATTAGCAAAAACAAATGAAATTAGCTGTGTAGACAAGATGGCTGTCAAAACATCAAATCAAGGCAAGTGCGTTTCTTTTTACCCACATTTTTATTGACTTATGTAAAAAATGTATCAATCCCGAAAATCCCGGGATTCATTAAATTTGATCCCGAAAATTTCGGGACTAAAATATGACCGGGATCCCGAGATCCGGGATCCCGGGATCGAATCCTCTATTTTTAGGTTTATGGCTTCTTTTGCAGCTTCAGTCAGTGCAACGTATTCCGCCTCTGCGGTCGACAGGGCTACGCTTCTTTGCTTTTTAGACATCCAGCTTATGGCCGTTCCTGCAAATTTAAAGCAATATCCCGAAAAGGATTTTCGATCAATCTTATTTGATCCCCAATCTGCATCTGCCATGCCGTATAATTCTTTTCCAGTTTTGTGGAACACCAGACCAACACTCTGTGTACCTTTTAAGTAACGTAGTACACTTTTCAGACATTTAAAATGTTCTTCATCACAGTAATCGTTGAACTCGGAAAGGTATCTTATAGTAAACATTATGTCTGGTCGAGTTGCGCCCGCTATATACATAAGAGTGCCAATTACATTTTTGTACGGGAGGCTCTTTGTTTGATTTATTTCTTTTTTCTGTAAAGTAATGCCTAGTTCTATCGGTGTAGATACTGGCTTACAGTCCTCCATTCCATACATCCTGAGGGTTTCTAATATTATACGTTCTTGGTACAATTTTATTGTATCTTGGCCGTAAGTAACATCAATGCCCAGTAGTCGCTTCGAGTTTAGCTGGGTCTTTATTTTTTGAAGTTCTGTAGGGCTAGAGTAGGCAATCAAAAACCTAAAAAAGTTGATCATCAAACTCTGATAATAAAAGCAGTTTTAAAAACTTATTTTAATGTACGTATACATCACGAATGCAAGCCTTTAAAAAGTACAGAGATAATAACAGATAATAAGTTGACTTTGTTTTATAATCATCATGTAAGTTTTTTAACCTCCATTCTAAGGAAAGGCCTATGTCCAGCAGTGGACTACTACAGGCTGTTGATGTGACGATGTGAAGTTTCTATGAAATATATTTTATCACGTGCATGTTCCATAAAAATGCCGTGCATATGCCAGTTTCTGTTGTGGAAATTTGTATGTATTGTAGTCTTTTATTTCTCTCCTACGATATTAAAATTTCTATTGATGCTTTGTTACTTGTAAAAGTTTCGAAAAGTGTTTATTTATATTATGTTTATATTAATTTTGTGTTTAAATTAAGTATGTTTTTTTGTCTGATTACATGATAACACACGCAATTTTCTTGCATTGGTTTGGTTTAGAGACGTTCAACCCAAGATTCAGCCCCTTTTATTCGGAATAAAAAACCAGTGTCTACACAAAAATCTCCCCTACACCCTCAAAATCTTTTGTTACAAATAGCTAGTGTCCGACCGAAACTGGTTTTTACGACCGAAACCGAAACCGAAACCGAATTTCGGCAACGGTCTCAGTTTCGGCCGAAACCGAAACCGAAACTTTTTTATAAGGATCATGTTTTCAGAGAAAAATAAAGAAAATGTATTATAATCAGTCAGTTTTATTTTTTTTTCTTTAAATCACATAGGTAGCTTTAATACTTATTTATTTATGTTATTACCTAATATCACGATAGTTATAGGTGGATAGGTACTTAATATTTAAGTAATGAACAAAGAAATATAAATCACTTTTATCTTAAAAACAAATTAACTTCTTCTATACTTAATCGTCATCTTGACACTTCAACAAAAAACATAAAATTATAAACTAATCGTAATCATAATATTGCAAAACAATCTTATATTATAGGTAAGAAACAATAGTTTATCAACATTTTCGCCTCGCAGATTGCTCCTTCTGTCTGAATAAATTTGTCCAGCAGTACTAAATAATTATTCACTGGAAACACTCGTTGGTGGAGCTTTCTCAAAGACAGATATGGACTAGAATCTCAGTAAGAATAAATATCTGCACTTCTCTGTAATCTAGGCTCTGACAAGTATGCCTGAATAGTTTGCTTAATTTGAGTTAAACAATCACTGTTCTCCACACCAGAATTTTCTATAAAGTTACAAGTAGATTTATCATAGGCGTCCCAAAGCCCTTCTGCTTTTTCGGAAGACATTATTCTAGATGAACAAGATGGCTCTGGTTCTCCAGAATGATAAACTCACAACAAACAAAATGCACTGCAAACAAACAGGTTACGACATGATTACGCACGTGGACGCGGCCAAATGTCATCGTCGCTTGGATGTCATTTACCGCGCCGAACACACAGGAGCACAGCGCGGAAACTCTCGAATGCAGTTTCGGTTTCGGTCGTAGTTTCGGCAGGTTTGCTGCCGAAACCGAAACATTACCGAAACTCGTTTTTTTGCCGAAACTCGACCGAAACCGAAACCGAAACCGAACATTCGGTCGGACACTACAAATAGCAATTGCATATCAGCTTCAAAGTTCTGATTTTAATATTTTTTATTAACATTGTTCCACGTACATGTTTTTCCGCGTTTTAAACTTGATGATTATTTGTTTAGTGTTTTTTTTTCACTTTTCCTTAATTCCGTACACTTGTGTTGTCTATGGAGGACAGCGCCAGCTGGGGTATCAAGTGGGGCACTAGACAATATATTATACCTAATCCACTTAAAATAAAGTAGATATTTACTAAAGTACAAATGCCTCTTTTACCTCAACAACTGTTTATACGTATAGCAAAACACATGCTTATACTTCGAACTGCAAGTAATGCATGCATTGTCTGTAAATACAAACAGTAACAGTAAACATATTTAAGTATACGTGGGAATGACTAATGACGTCTTATTAATATAGAAAGGGGGCAACGCCTCCACGCTTATAAAAACATGCATCTATTTTTAATAAATTATAATATGTACCTACTCAGAAAATCAATCTGTTTAGATAGGCCTGGCCTCTCCCTTTGCACGTCACTTATATCGATTTTCGGCTTCTCGCATCCAGCATTGGCAAATTCCAATTACGTACTTCATTAACTTAAAAAGAAAAAGGATCTTGCCTTAAAAACCGTGCAATCTATTTCAAAATTACTTAATAAATAAATGCGATTAAATCTTTGAGTACTTATAGTTCCTGAAGTTTGTTCTGACGTACCGTTAAATTTAACAATAGTGGAGGAGTAAAGTAGGTAGGTAAGTAAAATATAGGTGGTGACATTAAAATTCTCACAAAGAGAGTCAGTGGAGGCCCACACACTCTCCCTGTACTATGGCCTCCAGGGTGAAGCTCCTTCGATTTAGTTGGTAGAATAACTGCAGAAATATTTTACTATGATTAAACAAAATGGTATAATGGTAAGTAAAATCTCTCGAGCTACCAGTCAAATTTAAACATTTGTTGAAAGGATAATAACACAACACGCGAATTATAAAAATGCGTTGAACGGCTATAATTGGCACGAAGTTGCTTATCGCTCGTTAGACACTGAGCGGATGGGAGCGAGACCGAAGAATGTGTAACATGACTTTTTTTCCGACCCTTCAAGTTTAAAGCAGACCGTATAGACCGTATATATTCCGACTGGAGTCCATAGGCCCATTCCCGCCGTTTTATACATTGAAAATAATTTTATTTGTAGGAAAAATACAATGTAAAAAGAAAGAACTTCGGTACGATTCAATCTTCAGATATTGGATTCTTCAAATCAATACTCGATGAGAAAAGGGTGTTAACTGATGAAAATGATATATTACCATATAACATTGATTGGATAAAAAACTGCCGAGGTACGTACTGATGAAGTAGGTGCAGAATACGGAATGCAATATTTTTCAATAGAATTATAACGAAAACGTTAGGTACTGACTACCTGACTAATTATTGCAGTAGTAAGTATATTTTCAATAGTTCATACTTTTTATCTGGTAACAAAAAGCTCTGTTAATAAAATACGTCTTCTCACTGGACTCGACGTAACCGGCCTAATAGAAGATCATCACCGCATACGCAGCCAACAAATAAAAGCATCACTAGCGCACAAAATTGGTTATGAAAATAAGTATTACGTATCTATGCTCCACAGCAGCGTTGCAGGTATGTTCTCTTTGGATGCAATGCCTTAGTGATTGCTCTTATTTCTACAGCTGCCAGGTAATAATAACACATTAATGAATTAAACCGTTTTTTCTTAAATTAATGAGTTGACACGAGTGTAACTTAAATAGCTTTTTTGTTGCTGAGAAGGAATAGCTGCAACTTTTTTAGTATTTGCTATAAACATATAGAAATTGGTGTGTTAAAAGACATTGATTTCTGGGTAACAGCTTGAACAATCTTAGCATAGAATATCACACATACCTAATTTAGGAACCGCTTCTTATTAATATTGTGTACTGAGAGATAGATATTTTGTTCGCAATGGAAAAAGAAAAAAACCCAGCTTCTGTTTTCATGCAACACAGCAAAACAGTTCTGGGGCTAAACTGTGCTTTGCGAACTATGCTAAGAGTATTTTTCTTCTTTTAACCGCTGCTTTAGATAGATAGATAACTCTTTATTGTACAGAAAAAAAGAACATAATTATAGAGCAGTTTGTATACATTTGAATTAATCTAATAATCTAGGAACATAGTAGTAATCTAGGTGTCTTATAGGTTATTGGTTATATTACATTCTCAGGCCAATCGAAGCTTGTATTGCGACCAAAAACTACAGAAGAAGTATCAAAAATTTTAAAATATTGCAATGACAGACGACTAGCGGTATGCCCTCAAGGAGGAAATACAGGACTAGTTGGTGGTTCTGTGCCCGTATTCGATGAAATTGTCTTGAGCTTTGCGTTGATGAACAAAATCATCAGCTTAGATAGTGTCTCAGGTTGGTTATTTTTATTTTTATGGATAATACTTTTCTTTTATGTATTTTTTCATATTGCACTTTGAGTGGTTTTATGTGTTTTTTATTTAAACTTATTCATTTATTATTCATCACACTAATGAATTTTTCAGTTCAATTGTTAGTTGTTTTGACTCATGGTTACGAAGTTCATGACCGCGATGTACGTTGCTGCGAAAGTTTACTATCGCGACGTTCTTGGTTCCGAAAGTTCTTTACTGCCAAAGTGTACCTTTGCGATATACATTGTCGCAAAAATTCTTTACTGCGATGATTGCAGTTTAGACCATTCGGTCATGTAGGAGGGTTGATGATAGGGTGACTGAAATTGAAATGTTTGGAAATTGTAAGCAAACTTAAATAAAATTTAAAGATAATAAACCAAAATATAATAAATAAAAACCGCATAAACACTTATTATGTTCTTTTATGTAACAGGTGTTACATCTTGGTCAATTCTTCAAATGTTTTATAATTGTTCCGTTTTTGCCGTAACCGTTAACCGAAAACAATGTAACATTTACACTCTTTTGAGGAGTGTAAATCATAGTTGCGAAGTTCATTCCGTTCATTCAAGTTTATTCAAGTTTCAGTAACCGTTAATTGAATTGATCAAGGGACAAAATAACACAGATTACGAGACTGAATGAGTGAAAAGAGCTGAAATTAAAAACTAAAACGAAGCACAACAAGTTACTTATAAACTGATAAGTCACTTATCTATCACGAAAGAACGACGTGAATATTGAAAATTATTTGGGTGGATCGGCGATATAACTTTTATGCAATTTTTAATTTGTTATCTTTTGGTCAAATTATATTTAAGTTGGCTTACAATTTTTGTTGATTTTGTCATATCCAACAATATTATATTTTCACTTCCACCAGTATCAGCAAATCTCCTACATGACCTGATGATCTAAACTGCTTTCATCGCATTAAAGAAATTTCGCGAAAACGTACATCGCAAAGGTAAACTTTCGGATTAACCTACTTTGCAGCAAAGAACTTTCGGAACAAAGAACGTCGCGATTGCAAACTTTCGCAGTAACGTAGTATATAAAAATATTAGTATAGATAAGTAGATAATGAATACCTATACACCACACAAATAACTGATGAGTTTTACACGTTTACCTACAGGTTCTATGGTATGCGAAGCTGGATGTATTTTAGAGAATTTGGACAATTATGTACGCGAGCGAGGGCTCATAATGCCATTAGACTTGGGTGCTAAAGGAACCTGTCACATCGGCGGCAATGTCAGCACTAATGCAGGTGGACTTCGGCTGTTACGTTACGGCAACCTACACGGATCAATACTTGGAATTGAAGCGGCTAGTTTACTTTAATTTTTAGATAATGACTGTGTCTGTATACTAATACGTGAAGAAACTTTTTTGTACCCCTTTTTAATAAATATGGCTCACAGAAGCATATCATATTTAGAATATTTAATGTTTATATGTAGAAGAAGTCCAGGGAGCTATAATTAAAAAGAAAAAATGTACCTAAGTAGATAAAGTAGTAAACCTGTCGCGAGTGAGGCGTTTCATAGTGGACGCTGTCAAGTGCGTTCACTCCCTTTCGGAGACGGCAGTACGATCAGAGGGGGGGTGGCCTTGATATCGTCAACGCGTTCGGCACCCTCCCCTGGCAGGTGATAAGGGCTGTCTTTGAATATCACGAGGTGTCGCTCTACCTGCGGGTCGTCATTGGGGCCTATCTCCGCGACAGGACGGTGAAATTCATCGATCGGAACGGGGTGGAAAATCTAATGTATTTATGTTGTGGGGTTCCCCAGAACCTTGCAAACGATGCAGTACTTCGCACCCGTCTGCCCTCTGGCTAGAGGATCACACTTTGAGGAGGTGCTTCAGCTCGCCGAGCAGGGTGTGGCTTGAGTCGTGGGAAAGATTCGTGAGCTGGGCCTGAGGGTGGCGCCTCAGAAAACTGAGGACATATGGTTCCATAGCCTACTTAAGCGCCAGGAACCACTCAGCTCACGCCTCCGGTTGGTGACGCTGAGGTCCAGGTGGGCCGGTACATGAAGTACTTGAGCCTCATCCTGGACATTCGGTGGAGCTTCGAAGAGCATTTTGAGCAAATGTTTCCCCGAGTCCGGGTTGTAGCGGGTGCGCTGCATCGCCTGCTGCCCAATCTCGGAGGACCACGTTAAGAAGTTCGCCGCCTCTACATAGGCGTCGTGCGATCCATGGCCCTCTATGGGGCGCCCGTCTGGTCTAATGACCTAGCGGGTGCCTCCCGTGATCGGACGAGGCTATCGTATGATCTCGTTTGAGGCAGCGACGGTCCGGACGCGATATCCACCCGTCGACATTCTGCACATCTGACGGGTATCCACCCGTTGACATTCTGCACATCTGATGGGCAGCCGCAGTCTCCTTCTGCGAGGACGTCATGCTCCAGAAGGAGGCCGCAGAGCTAGATCGGGAGAGGGCTGATCCCGCTCGAAGGAATCAGTGAAGGGGACGGGATAAAAATTGTGTAAAAACGAATACTAACCATACAACTACATGAGCCCAGCATAGGTGCCACAAAATGTCAATAGAAACCAAACAAAACAAAAATCGAAGGTTTAAATTCGGCTAAAAAACTTGTTTTGGCTACTAACAATCCTCTATTTTATCAGGTCAAAGCTGATGGTACTGTCATAGATTGTCTAAAATCTTTAAAGAAGGACAACACTGGGTATCATTTGAAGCATCTGTTTATTGGATCAGAAGGCACATTGGGCTTAGTTACTAAAGTCGCTATCCATTGTCCCGTATTACCGAATGCTGTAAATTTAGGATTTTTCGGTAAGAAAATGAGTTTTTTTTTGTGTTAAATCTGAATAACCAACAATAAAGTATATGTATTTCTATTTTATTACCTACTAGTTACCAGTAATCATTCGTATACCTTTTACCACCATTTGAATTCTTTAAAAAGGTTATATCTAGTTTAAGAAAATACAACTTGAAAAACATTTTAATCTGAAGAAATTGTTTCAAGCTATAACCACTGCCAGTGCCAGTATAACTTAGTGGAGGGATAACCTAGTGGTAATGCGATTAATTCTCGTTAATGCAATAGTAGGTATACCTGCGTAAAGACAGACATCATTTCTTTTATTATAATGTTTATTTGGGATTAGGTAAACTACAGTATATTTTTAAGAATTTTGATTTTGTCTTAAGCACTATGATCACAAATCTGTAACAGATTTGGTTGACTAGGTGTGTGTCGGTGACAGCCTACAGGAAACCGAATGACAATTTCAATACGCGCTGGGAATTTCCTTAGACATTGTAGAATCTGTAGTCTGGTTGACTTAGTTTAACGTGGAGTCTGTGTGGCTCATTCAATTACAGATCACAATAACTTCAAAGGTCAAACAGTATTTATGTTAGCTGAGTCTTTATTTTCAATACGTACCTACCTATACCGCCTCATATAAACGACACAAACAATCAGCCCGGGAGTGTACGTAACACTAATGAAGTGCCTACCTAGTTCAATTACTAATTAAACTGAAATATCTGTAACTTTCTATTTTTCCTTCATTACTCTTAAGTGTCAAGTATTTAAATAACATATGTAAGCGTTATTTATTTATTTATTAGGTTAACTCACAGCACATATATGTGACATTAATGGTAAAATCTAAGTAATAAGGTTCTGATGTTCTGCCACTTACGAACTAACACAGCATTCACAGTTAAGACAACATATTAACAAAATCACATTGATATATAGGTATTTGAAGTTAAACTTAACTCTATTGGTCTGGTGACGTTAAGCGTTCGTTACTTGCCTCTATAACTTAAATATTTTTAAGTGTTAGACTAAATAGATATCTACTTAGTCTAACTAATCACTCTTTATTATTATTTACAGGTGTAAAAAACTTTGATAATATATTGAAGTTATACAAAAGTGCTAAAAAAAATCTTGGCGAAATTTTATCTGCCTTCGAGATGGCTGACTTCGATGCGATTAATACTACTGTGAGAAACCTGAAATTGCCGTAAGTTACCTACTTTCTTTGACTTCGACTATTTTTCGTAGAAGGTGAGCAGGGGGAGTTGATGTAGGAATATTTACATAATTTTAACAAAAGCAAAGATTTGATGTTGAAAAAAAATATAATAATAATACCTGTCGAATTATCAAAACCTTTTAAACATCTACAGAAATCCAATCGCAGATTATCCGTTCTATGTGTTGGTAGAGACTCACGGCAGTAATGAAGCTCACGATAGCGAAAAGTTAATGTCATTCCTTTCAAAAGAAATGGAAACAGGCCTTATATTAGATGGAACTGTCACATCTGAGCCGGCCAAAATGCAGGTAGGTGCCAATTTTATGCTTTAGTGGATCCTTATCAATTAATTTTAGGCACAACATTGTACCACAGATTAAGAGATATGCACATTATACTTCTTTACCTATGTCAATATAGGCAGGTAGGACAACGATATATTATTAAGTGTTGCCCAATGTATTATGAAGCTGTTGACCATTTGCTGATTCCAATAATTTTGAAAGCTGAAATTTTTAATTAATATGTTTCCATTATATCTTATTTCTCGATGTCATCTAAGATACCTACTTCTAATTACATACTGACTTCCTAAGTTTCCAGTGTTATTTTAATTGGCGCACAGCGTAGTGGTTTAAGCGGTCACTTCGCCCCTTTCTAATACGCTAAGTATTGTGGGTTCATCCCTACACGGGACATCACTTTGTGTTTTCCTTGTCCTTGAATTCTAGTCCTGAGTCTGGATGTTCTTTGTGCCCGTTTCATATAGGTATGTTCCTAAAGTCCCCCGCGACACAAAACCATATTTCTAGTGCGAGAGTTCTTTAAAAATACCAAATAAATCAAACAGTTATTAGGAGCATACGGCTAAAATGAAGTTTAAGAATAATTACTAATATATTTACATTATGTAATAATTACAGACGATTTGGAACCTGCGCGAAAGTATAGCTGGTGCTAGCTTGAAATCCGGTTATATTTTCAAATACGACGTATCTATTCCACAAAAGCACTATTACGATCTTGTACCGATATTGAAAAAGAGGATGGGTGGCAGAGCGGTCTCTGTTTATGGTTATGGACATGTTGGTTAGTTAATCCATTATCCAATGCTCTATACACACATGCACATAGTCCCTTGTGTCCACAGAGTAACTACGTAGTTTAACCGAGTTATAGATCTATTTTTTGTTAATAAAAAATTAAAGAACACCTATTTAAAATAAGCAACAGACCAATGAGTACCATATAATATATAATATATATATTAAAAAATAATAAATTTTATAAAAAGTAAGTATAAATAAAGCCGAACATAGGATCCTGCAAAGTCAGTAGTTATATCTTTATCAACGTGATTCTGTTTTGTACATTTCCTGAGATAGAGCAGATCAGTTCTTATTGTTAACCAAAATAAATGGATGATATATGAAGATATTATCAATTATTTTGGCGCATCATATCAATTACTAGATGGCGTAGTGGTTTGTGTAACGAACTGTTTCGCCAAAGGTGTGTAAATGAACATTTAATATTTATTTGGTCTGGGTATTTTATATGTATGTATTGCAAAAAAAATGTATATAAATATACCAGTTTTCTAGTACCCATAGTACAAGCTCTGCTTAGTTTGGTAGATTATTATTATTTATAATAATGTAAAATAATATTTACTAAGACTTCTTGTCATACTTGAACGACCCCAAACGCACACACGATTTCATTCCTGATGATCGTTTGAGTAGCCCAGGCGTGAAAGTTTAACAAATAAACTTACTTTCGCATTCATTATAAGTTCGGATAGTTTAGATTAAGTTAGAGTAGTAGAGTAGAGTGGTTAGAGATCCTGACTACTAAGCCAGAGGTGGGTTCAATTCCCACCCAGGGCAAATATTGTGTGATGAGCATAATCATTTGTTTTGCGTCTGGATGTAATTTATCTATATGATATATGTATTTAGAAATACATATATAAATATGTTTATCAGAAGTTTGGTTACCCTGCGCTGACAGGCTCTGCCTCGTTTGGGATCAGACGGCCGTGTGTGTGGTGTGTGAAGTATCATTATTAATTTTTAACAGTGAGGCCGAAAACTATAATTTTACAAGGTTTTGTCCAGAGAATTGGTTTTGTGAATATTTAAGATTTATTAATATTTCAGGGGACGGTAACATACATATTAACGTCGTCGTACCAGAATACAACAGCGAAGTAGCGTCACTTATGGAACCATATATCTTCGAAGAGGTGAGCAAAGTGAATGGATCAATTAGTGCAGAACACGGTATAGGCTTTCGAAAACCCAAATACATACACTACAGCAAGGATCAGTCGGCGTTGCATCTGATGAGTGACCTGAAGAAATTAATGGATCCAAATGGAATATTAAATCCATATAAAGTTCTACCCGATGAACCATAATAACGTAACTTAAAAATATAAAACTTAACACAATCTATTTTTTTTTTGTTTTTCAATAAAACTAAGTGCCACAATCAAGCCATTGTCTGAAAATGGTAGTTGCATTAAGCAAATGGCCTTTATAAAAGTATAGAGGAGGTTCCACCTACAAAAGTTTGGGGTGGGGGGAGGGGGGCAATAATATTCTATAATAAAGCTGTTATTATTTAAGTTAAATATATTTTATTGGTAATGGTAAAAAAATAAAAAAACAAATGGTAAACAAATATTTTGTTTTTTTCTACTTATTTGACTGAATAAGAGAGGCAATTATCCAAATTCCCAAATACTCTATTAAAATAATTAACTTTCAAAAGAGCTTTACCGACTTTAATGCTCCTTCATCATTATGTAAATGTGATACACCGTATTCTATATTCCTTAATTTTCCACCGTTGGGGGTGGTAAGTATTGTTTTATCATGTGTATTTCATCATCATCATCAAGAGCCTTTAATAGTCCACTGCTGAACATAGGCCTCTCCTTAGAAAGGATGTTTTGGCCTACTATGTGTAAATGTATATTTGAATGGGCTAAACGGGCAGTAAAATAAGAAAACTGAGGGAACAAACATACTTTTTAAAATTTGTTGAAATGTTTTGTAATCTCATTTATTACTTTCTTGTTCATATATTATTTTTTGAATATTAAAGGCTATATAATTTAGTGTTTCTCTGGGAGCCCATCATCAGAACCTCGGAAGTCTGCCTTTTAGATAATAAAAATTATTTTGAGTCTGTGAAAATATTTAATGGAGAAATGGCATAACAAACACAAAAAAATTACAGTGAAAACTTCCTTTTTTTAATTCTGTTAAAAAAGTCGAAATTTTACATTTGATAGCCCTATTTTTGTGGAACTTTATGTATTAGACTACTTATGTATGTAGATAGAAGCAGCAGTAATCAGAAAACGCGGATGCCGCCACAAAATGAGAAGCAGATGTGTAACATTATAGTGCTAACACGGACGTATAAAACAGTCGGGCAGTCTCGCTAACAAAAAACTGTGTTACTCATAGTCGGCCAGTTCGTTGTGCGTAAAGGGCGGGACGCACATTTCCACACATTAGTCAGCCATTAAGCTGGCAAACATCAAGACAAATATACAACATTAGTAGTATAAATATACAACAGTAGTAACTATTAAATACGTAACCATATTCTTCATATCATTATATCTTCATTCATATTTTTTTACTAAATTCTCTAAGGAAAATGTAGTATGGAGAAATTATTGGATTCAAATAATTAGAAATTGTAATGGTGAAAATAAAGATAACACAAAAATATATTCTCACAAAAAATCTAGAAAAGTTTGTTGGCAATGAAAGCATTTTTTAAACTTAGAATCTGAACATACTTTTGTCGGAATGAAACACAAAATCAGTCTTATTAAGCGTCATATATAGCGGATATATATGTCCGTATATATATCACGTATATATATCACTGTCCGTGTAGTGACGGATTCAGAATACGGAATGTCACTACCCCAATTCATCCTGTGGGTGTCGTAAGAGCCGACTACAACGCAGGACACCAAAACTGCAAAAAGAAGGAAAACTTGACACCAACACGTCTGGCCAGCGTGGTATAATAGGCCAAAACCTCCTTTCTAAGGAGAGACATATGTCCAGCAGTGGACTATTAAAGGCTGTTGATGTGATGTGATGTGATATGTCACATTTGAAGACCCGATGGCGTAGTGGTTTGCGTAACGGACTGCTCTTCCAAAGGTCGCGGGTTCGATTCCTGCTCAAGTAAAAACATTTGTGTGCATGAACATTTAATGTTTGATTTGGTCTGGGTGTTTCTATGTATAACATGTATGTATTTACAAAAAAAAAAGTATATATGTATTTATATCAGTTGTCTAGTACCCATAGTACAAGCTCTGCGTAGTTTGGGACTAGATGGCGTTGTGTGAATGTAGTAAAATAAATATAATATATATAGCGGATATATATATATGTCATATATAGAGTTTTCAAGAACCTCTCAAAGTAAAAGACATTATTATAAAAAAAATGACAGCATTTGGGACATTAAACGGTAAAATTTCGAACAAATAAAATATTTTTATTTATTGACTGTGTTTTGGGTCATAAATTTGGGTAACTTGGCAACCCCAAAATTCATTCATAGACAGAAAGAGCTGCCGCCATTACGCACGCTGCCTCAGTTTTGTCCTAGCGGGAGTTCCGTCTGACTGTTGTTAAACGTCCATGATAAGTGGTGGTAAGGTCACAAATTTAGCGCTACCAGTATTCTTGTTTCTGCTAGTTGCAACAGATCATCATTGAGTAAATCTATAATAAATTCGTAGGGTTACGTCTTTCAGCAAGCGTTAAGTGAACAAATACGCAAGCCACACAGAATGGTTTAACACCATCATAAGCGCATGTACGAGGGCTGTTATTTATGTATCCGGAACTGGCCAGTTTCAGAACAATATTAAAAAAGTAATTATAACATTTAAAAATAAGTATGACGAATACTCGTATATATAAAATATTACACGGACATTTAGCTGTAAAAAAAATTGTTCACTTAATTGATTCCGCACAACTTGAGAATTGACCAAAAACGGGCTCGTGTCGATTGGTGTAAAAAAATGTTACAAAAGTACAATCAGGGTGCGTCAAAAGCTTTCTATAAAATCTACACAGGTGAGTAATCTTGGATATATGCTTATGATCCTAAAACTGAACAACAATCAACGGTTTAGGTGTTCCAAGACGAGCCAACCCAAAAAAAGTAATTCGTTCAAAAAGCACTGCAGCAAATGGTCGCTTATTTTTTTGGTATAAATGGATATGTGGCTACAGTGCCACTAGAGGATCGTAAAAGGGTTAATTCTGAATGGTACACAACCATTTGTTTGCCATAAGTCTTTGAAGAAGTAAGAAAGAATAACCGACAACGCAGAATCCTTCTTCATTATGTCAATTGTAGCTGCCACACATCGGCCGAAACAACTCATATTTGGAAGATCAAAAGATCGAATGAACGGGTCATCCGCCGTACAGCCCTGACTTGGCCCCCAACGAATTCTATTTATTCCCAACCGTGAAGAATAAATTACGTGGTCAACGTTTTTCGAGCCGTGAAGAGCCTGTTAATGCGTTCAAAATGCACGTTTTGGAAAATCAGAATGGAAAAAGTGCTAAGAAATTTGGTTCCAACGTTGCAAAAGTGCATTGATCATCACGGTGAATATTTTGAAAAGCAATAAAACTAGGTATAATAAATGCTATGTTTGTTTCACTTTGCAACAAACAATTGTTTTTTTTTCAATTCAATTCAATTGTTTGTTTCAATTTCTGATAGATTTTACCATGAAATACCATATGCCAAGCCTAACCAAGATTTCTTCAAGATAGTTTTTTAATTTTTTATCGCCGAAATTTTGCCTTTCCTTTATTTATTTTTAACTACAATGTTTTATAATTTCCATAACAAAAATTGTATTGTATATTGTTGTGTAATTGCTAAAAAGGAGGCGCGGGATTTGGGTCGGTGTCCTGAATCTCGAGAAATCGAGGATCAGAAATCCCAACTCCGCCAGGTTCGAGCACTAGGCACGCCGTTATCGCTGCGGTAAGACTCGTTATGGAGGATTGGCTCGAGAGGCATAACGGAACCCTGTCATTCGGGAGCACAAAGGGGACATCGGAGTTCCCACACAGGAGGGGGTCATTGACACGCCGTAGATGGCCCGAGGTACGTCGTAGTATCACTGATTTCCTTCCTAGGGTACACCTGGTTCCCCAGCAACTTGTACCCGAGACGGCGGTTTTTGGTCGGTTCGAGTCTGACATAACCACCGGTGGGTGATATCCGAGGGGATATCCGCACAGAAAAAAAGGTGAAATGATACGCTATCACAAGGTATGTGAACCTTCGTGATAGCGTAATTCATAACATGTGGGGTTCGCATAATAAATAAGATAACATTATTTAAATGACTTTTATTAAAATATCCATTTATTCTTATAACATTCATAATATCACTGCAACAAAAATACAATGGAATATTATAAACATTTCCCTAATTGCTTCAAATAAATAAATGTTGTATTCTATAAATATATTCGAAAAGGATTTATTATTATTATTAATATAATAACAGCACAAATGGCGTAGGTTAGGAAATGCTCTATTATTGCTATGTGATTCGTTTGTAGCGCTATAGAACACTAAGTATAATCGATCAGCAATTAGGTCATTGGCTAAAATCCATTTCACACGCAACTGTCGCGCCGTCTCACTCATGAGATAGCCAAATATAATCAATCACGTAAACAACACATACAAGTGTAACAAATTTGGCAAAACATATTGTTCGACTTCAAATCGACAAAACCTTTATATAATTGCTCTTGAGAAATGCAACTGGAAGTCTTTTCGGAACAACAATTTGCCTTGCAAACTGGTTCCTTTTGTATTATGCTTATAAATAAATCAGATTTCAATCGGTATCATGATATAAGATGAAAATGTATGCGAGCGGCTTCGAGCGGCGGCGTCGTGAATTAATGCATTAAATAAAGTAAATAGATTTGTGCCAAAGCAGGTATAATTTATGAAATTGCCAGTTGATTTAATTTACTGCTTTTTCACAAAAGTGAATCACTGAGAAAATTTTACATATAATTAAAATAAGACTCAAATGTCATTTAAGTAAATAAAAAAGTTTTCAGCCTTCAACTTATGCAATAATAATTATGTAACATTTTCTCCAGTGGACATTGTTACCAATGGAATGGAAGCAAGTCTTGTTATTTGCATATAGAAGGCTTTTTTATGGTTTATTTCAACATTTTCTGCTTTTTTTGTGTAGAAATGTGAAGAAACCCCAAAATTAATACAATGTTTTTTCTATATCATAAAATAGAAAAAATGAATGGAAAAATTATGAGATCACTAAACATTAATATACAGACGAAATGTAAACAAGAAACAAATGGCTCTAAATTATGGCCAATTCAGTGGTGGGAGCTGAGAGTAAAATTACAGCTTATTGTATACAAGAAAACAATAGTACTTTCATTAAATATTAAGAACTTACCTATGCTTGTTTACATTTAGTCCATGTATGTATGTGTAAGCTAAGTTTTACGTATAAAATTATATTATAAACTGGGTAATTAAAAAATTGGTTGAATGCATACTGAACTTTTTGTTTACATGTAAACACTAACCCTTCGGAAAAACAGACCAAAACGTTTTTACATACTGAAGGTATCCCCTAGTCTGGTCATACATAAAAGCTGACTCTAAAATTAAAAGCTTAAGTCCGTACATATTCTTAAATCACTACGATGGAGCACCTAAAAGGAAAGTTGGTTTTGTCTCAGTAGGTAGGTGGAAAACTGTTAGTAAAATGTCATCGTTAACAGTCAGCGTATGGGTCGACGGCTACACCGACGCTACTTTACTAATGAATTAGTCACAGCAACTCGATGTGAATGATACGCGATACTTCTTAGACCTAACTCATGCTTAATCTTCATAGGATGGCTATGAGGTCGATCGCTCCCATTAAATCTTTTTATAGTTTTATAATATTTTATATTTTTTTTATAGTTTTTCACCATTGTCCTAGCATATTAGACGCAATTTGGTCTGTGCCCCGCAAGGGAAGGGGCGCTAAATGAGGCCCGGTTATCGCTTAATTTGATTGGACATCTTGAGAAACTCGAGGAAGCCGGCTTGCATTTCGGCGTCCATACCAGTGTCCCAAGCGTCGTTCTCCAGCTCTTCCCTAAAAAAATAAAAGCTGTATAACACACACTGGCGACAACATACAAAACAAATATGTAAGTACATAATATATATAAACATATAGGAAAGTATGTTACATAGTGCTTGAAAATAATTTTCACTAGTGGAAGTAAAACTTCTTTACGCACACTTTACTTGGTGAGTAAGCTGGTGAATGCATGACGAGAGCGTTACGAAAAGTGTGATCGAGCGACGCCAACGTAAGTTGAGAGGGAGATATAAGTTAGTGAAGATAGAAAGAGAGAGTTACGTTTCGTGTATTACTGTAGGGGCAAGAGAGAGGTGCGGGCACACATTTTCTTTTTCTCTTTCTCTCACAGCCAAGAAGTTTTACTTCAGTCGTGTGGTCTAAAGCACACTCTTTCTTTGTTTGTATACTTCTAGACTCTTCTTAACGTTCTGATCTCAAATTTCTTCTAATTCTAGAATTTTACATACATACACATATGTTCATTTGTTAGTTAAATGTAAATGCTGCAGTTTAGTAAAGGAATGAGCTGAAGCAATGTAAACACAAAAATTGAGAAGGCACAACTCTTCCTCATATCCCAGAAAATCTTTAAGGCATGAAAGGCTCTTAGGCTCTCTAAATCTAGTCTAATCTATAGTGTAAGTAGTTTTCCTTTTGCTTATATATAGGGAAGTAAACGCTCAGAGCACTCACAGTATGTCTTCGTCCAAGGCGACGTTCTTGCCGGGCGGCAGGTTGCTCTGCAGGAAGGCGCGCTCCTCGGCTGTGAGCGTGTGTCCATCCGCCAGGTAGCCGCCGTCGCTGGAGCCGCTCTCTACTTCGCCGTTCACTGCCACGGTCAAGGATTTAAGTGAACGTAGTTAACGATTAATAGCGATTAAGCTCTTTGCAATGCAGAACTTTGCAAAGAAGAAAATGCAGACTGCGCACTTTGACTGACTCGTATGTGTTAATACGATCACGCACAACCAGTAGGTACACAGAATAAACAAGTGAAATAGGCACCGTAAAGGATGCGTCGGCGCAGGTCGGGCGGCGGCTGCACGGGCGGCTCGGGCTCGGCCAGACCCCAGCGAGCGGCGCGAAGGGCCACGACGGTCCGCACGCACGGCAGCCCGCCACGCCGCTTCAGTCGCTCGAAGGCCGCGTGCATGCCGGACGGACAGTCTGCGTCGAGAGCGATACCCGACAGCTGTCCCGAAAAACACAAGTCCGTTACATACCAGAGAGGCTTATTCACCACGATCCTACCTTTAAAGTTACTCTTGTGTTTGAGAAACTTCCGAAGTTACTATAAAAATTCTACAATATATACAATATAATAACACAATGTGGAAACAAGGCAATATATTAATCACGTCAACAAAGTGGTAAAACAAAATCTTAGGACATTCGTTATCGTCTCTACCAACCATGGTGTGGGATACTGTTAGATAACTCTTTGAAAATCATTGAGAAATGAAGACTACTTTTCAATTGAGTGATCTAAAAACCAACCTCGCAGTTAAGTCAAACTACCTATATAGATATTCCTTACTTAGGTTTAAAACATCGATACTTCCGTTAATTACATAGTTGTTTTACACAGTAAGCTATTGTATTGATCATTATACATATTTGGTATTTAAGTAGGTTTCTCATATGAATAATGTAATTTATTTTTATATTGTAAGAATGGAGATAGAATTTATTTCTAGAAATGATTATTTGAAATTATTTTTTGATATTGAAATTAATAAACACTGAGAATCAAAAACTGTCTTGCGGTTCTAACATATAACATAACATATTAAACATCAAAATAAAGTCTATACAGTAAAATTTAAGGCTAACAAGACAAAGAATAATATATAATAATTTAAATGTCTGTATTTTTTTAAATTGGAAATCAGATAATGTGAAATATATATATAATCGATGAGTCAGTCACGAGTGACATGGTTACATTTATTAATTCGACATGGTTATATTATGTTAATTAAACATGGTCAACCACTAGGATCCCTTCATCAATGCTAATGTACTGTAATTTGTGTAATATTTGTCAACTAAACTCATTTTACAACTCATCATTGCTTATTTTTATAACTCTTCCTATTAATACAATGTGTAGGTATATCACTATGTATCTTGACAATGTCTGTAAAAGCTTGTTCAGTTGATTATATTAATTTGGTTTGCATATATATGTTATAAAGGTCCAAAATATACCTCGTTTAGAAACAATAGGCAATAGTAATTGCAAAATTTACTCTTGGTGCGCGATCGAGACAAGGAAGAAAAATAAGGATGCAACACCAAGATAAAATACCAAAGACAGATGAATATGCTATGCAAGATCAATACACTTTTGCCTTGCACTTCGGCACCACTATAAAATATTTGCTGCAAGGATCCAGAATTTAAAATCAGACTATATACAACTACTTTAACTGATTGATTAATGAGTGCTATTTTTCGTTGTACTTATTCACAGTAGAATTTAATGGTTGAAATTGGTTTCTTGTGGAGTGGTGGTAAGCAAAAGTTTCTTGTGGAGTTGTGCAAGACATAAACGCGATTCTTTATACAACTAGACTGTAACTAATTAGGAACCATCTCAAAATAATTACGTTGTACATTATAGTAACATATTTTTATTAAAATATAAAATATTTTTTTCAAACTATTTGCTAAACATTCCTAATAAATAATAATTAATAAAAAAGAAATACCTTTAAGAGTTGACATACAGCCTTGATATTCACTTCTTTGTCAGTGTCAAGCAAGTGCAGTAGCACTTTGCACAAACTTTCTCCCAAAGACTTCACTCTTCCTCCCTAAACAAATATTTTTATTTTACATAGTCCTTACTTGAACTTACCCTCCTCATTAGTTTCATACATTTTTTATTAGTGTGAGAATACAGACTCTTCTATTTATAGCTTGCTGCTGTATCCCTGACAACATGGCAGAATTTTTAGAAGATACTTACAAATATTGAATAATCATATTTTTGATATGTAGTAAGTGCTACTACTACTAAATAAAAATAAATACAACTATAAAAACTTATTTTACAGATATTTTTTGGATGATGCATCTCAGATGAGATACAGATTTGAAAGAACAACTTGCATTTATGTTAGACAACAATTTAGTCTCAATTGTTCATTTTTACCTGGCTATCCTCCAGTTGGGTATAAATCTCAGCAAGAAACATGGCAAAACCACGCATGTTTTCTTCTGAAGTCTCCAGACCACTAATAATCTTGTTCTCCTCAGTGGAACACCGCTCCAATAAGCACGCACGGAAAGTTGACTCCTCCGGCGGCGACACAGAATCGTACATTGAACAAAGTCGCGCACCGTTATAGCGGAAGTTAGGCTCGCCTATTGACTGAAATAACAATATTTCATAGACTTATAAGTACTGTTATCCTTCAAGTCCAAGTGAAAATCATTCATTTCCAATTAAAAAAAATAGAGATTCTGATTCTTTTGAACAAACTTGACAATTGTAATTCAAGTTCATCTTCTCCTATTATTTCTCAACACCACCATTTCTCAAATTAAGGCATTTCGTTGGGATGATTCATTAATGTAAATATAACAAGTTCAGATAATTTATCCTCAATCATTCTACATATTCTTAAATCATTCTACATATTCTAACTATGGTCACAACTGTAATAAAACCAATAAAGTAAATAATAGTGTACAATAGGGATATCTTTATCCAAAAATAAAATTAGAATAAAGGATTTCAAACTTTATTAATGAAACCAACTCATTTCTTTTTTACTGTTTCTCTTGTACTTGCTCTGAGATGTTTAACCAAATTGATACTTACTATTTACTTAACTTAAACTAAATAACTAAAAGTTCTTGTACAATTAAGTTTAAAAAAGAATTTTAATAAGACTTTTTATCATATAATTAATTTTAATATGTTTTGAACATTCTATAGTTCATCTATTCTATCAATAAAGATTACCTGATTTACAATAGCTTCAACTAGAGGCCTAGTGTAGCTGACATCATGCAGGGTGGATGCGAAGGCATCAACCAGGGGGCCACACAATGTATCAAACTTGCCAGGATCAAATGTTATCTCACACATGACTGCTATCAAGTTGGCTATGTTTTCCTGCAGAATTTTATATTGATTAGTTTAAACTTAATGTCAAAACACAATGGAAATTCACAGCCAATACAAGTTATTTACAAACCCTCAAATCTGTATTTTCAACTTCTTCTAGTGAATAAGACATTTCCTCAAGGCTGTATGGGTCTTGATCTTGAGCCTGACGAAGTCGGTCTTGCACAGAAAATCGGGGTGGTCGATATGGCGCAGGGTCTAGGTGGTACGTGGGCACGGCATGTGGAGTGTAGTTAGGTGGATACCATTCCTTGGCATCAGCGGACAATGTAGATTTGGGAGGTTCGGCTGTAACTATACGTCATTTAGGTATACTATGTATATGTATACAAAAAAAATCTTATTAGAACAAGTGACCCAAAAAACGATTGCATCGAAATCGATTCTCAACACGGCTGGTTGAGTTTGTCAAAAAAAATCGAGACGTCATTAAAAATGAAAATCTTTACTTTCACCTGAAGTATTATAATTACGATGAACGCAGTTTAGGTGCCGACTTAATACGACGTCATAACGCCAAGTTCGTATTAGAAAGTGTGAAATAAATTAAACTTATATTCCAATAAGTTCTACCTTTTGGGTCCTCAGTAACAATCCTAGGCCGCCGGAGCTCCCGTGGTTGATTTTCGGGTTGCTGCCATCCGCGGCCTCTACCTCTTGGCCCACTGATCTCACCGTTATTCATTTCAGCACGTACTTTACAGAGACTATGAATGATGAATAAGTCGGCAAGCGTACATCAATCATCAAAATTAATATTTCTATTCTCGTACTCTATAGATTCGCTCGAAAACTTCGACACGTAAACAAAGAAAATTAGACTTCGCTGCAAATTTTACAGTGCACAACCACCATATTATTTGTACGAAGGAGACAGAAACGTTTTTTTTTCAGTCTTGTTTTTATACTCCTTTGGAGCGAAGTCTTTTGACACTATGACGCGTTTAAATAGTCACTCATTTCTATAGATGCGAAGCCGGTTAATAACGATTTTAACCAAGGGTTTAAAAATGATTTTTTTGTTATTAACGGTTATTTATATCTTGTTAGTGAATTTGATTCAATAAAAAATTAGAAGTTTTTTTAAAAGAAAGTATTAAAAACATTATGATGGTGATTAAAAGACGCCTGAGATAATACAGACTTGAAATAAAAAATAAATAAATCGCAAGAATATTATTAATTAATAATTTAGGTAGAACAATACACAGTGATTTCGATTTTTATCAACTACCAACTATACTTATTTCTCTATGTAGACGCTCACTAAGAAATCCTATGCAAAATATAATTTTTTCGGTCGTCATAGACACTAGTCGCGACCCTCTAAATGTCTCTTTCCTTAATTTCTTTTGCTCTCCCCATTTTTTTGGAGAAATACTATTTTGACCCTCCAATCAATGATTAAAGAACTGACACTTTAAGTATTAATAATGCATTATTAACATTCATGTATATTTTTTCAAGGTATTTTATTTCAACGAAAATGTAAAAATAGACGTTATGCTATTCATAATTTTATAAATAAATATCTTATAAATATTTACTAAGCTAAACATATTAATTTATCAATATATTTTTAATTTTTCTGGGAATGCGATGATGCGGAGGATTTTTTCTTGGTTCTTGTATGTAAATATGTAGTGTCATTGTTGTATCAATTTTCTAATTGCATTATATTTTATAGTTCTAAAACGTAGAAATTAAATACATTTTTCTTTTGTAAATGCATGAATATGTTACCTATACTTAATTAACAGAGAGGTTTTACTAAGATTAATTTAAAGTAAGGTTAAAACTGTGACCCAATCAGAAACGAGCTGCTTTCAGAGAAGAGCAAGTACAAAGAGGTGTTGTAATCAGATTTCCCTATGTAATAACGCGTAAAATTTTGCGGGCGAGGGGGTGTTAAGCTCCGCCCATTTCACTTATTTCCATATACTAAACAATAGCAAAACGACTCGCAACGTTCTCTAACGATTATGCTATTTAGTCTAGCTATCTCATTAATCTCACACTAGGTGTAGGATGTAGGATACATACTCAGAAATACGTATCAGTGAGTTTTTTTAAGATTAATTTTCTCTGTTGCAAAAATCTTACTCATATTATAATCGTAATAACCTGCCTATTATATTAAAAACGAAAGTTTATGTGTTCTTTCATTCCCGTTGACTTATTCTACGATATGTACTGTGTATGCGATTTTCACGCTTTTTTTTTAGTTTCTTTTACAAATAAAATAAAATTAAAATATTTTATTTCAAATAATTCATCTGAATGCACTTTTGAACGCCAACCTGAGAAAAAACTATTAATGTAAAATGTTAATAAAAGATGAAGTAACCGAAACAAGTATAATTTAAACATTTCGTAAAAATCTGCCTTTTTTTATAAAAACCGCACGCCATCTCGGGTACCAGTAGCCGGGGAACCATGTGTACGTTAGAAAGGATATCCCTGGTACCCCGACGTACCTCCAACATGGCATGGGGGTTCCCACACAAGAGGGGGGCCGCCGCCGGGGGCTACCCGCCGTAGATGCCCCCCTCTTGTGTGGGAACCCCCATGCTCCCTTCGTGCTGCCAAAAGGCCATCCCGGCCTGCTTCTGCTAGGGTGACAGATGGCCTCACCTGTTACCCCCAGGCCTGTGCTTATGGAGGATGAAGGTCATTCTGTGACCTCCGGCGTCCGAGTCGTCTGCGGTATGTGGCCCGTTCCCGGGCTCTGAATCCCTCCCGGGCCCGCTCCGTTATTTCCTTCGCAAGCATAACCTGCTCGCAGAAGGAGACGGCGAAGTTCCAGCACTCTAGCTCCCTGCTATGGCGGCAATCATATTACCAAACGAGAGAATTCCCATTCCGATGGCCGCCACGAGGCCACGCCTTTGCCCCACCCACGCCGTGCATTCTGCCAACGTGTGGAGTGCCGTGTCTACGGTCTGGCCTCCGCAGTGGTAGCACGCAGGCGTTGGCTCATTGCGGATGAGACACACAGGGGATCTCAAAAACAACCGAAGGATATCATCACTGAGGAAGTTTAAAGAAATTGGTATTATGACAGTCGCATCTCAATATATAAATGAAAATTAAGTGTAAACTAAGCTCAACGTACCTTTGTACGTTTAGTTTCCATTACACAAAGTTTAGTCATCTAGTAACGATTAGACTACGTAAAACACTAAGAATTTTTTCTAGAACTATTTTAATAAATTACTAGTGATCCGCCCCGGCTTTGCACAGGTGCTATGTAGATACTACTAATGTGGTGTCAGTGTATCGTAATTCCTTATACTATAATAATGATAGGACTATTAATAACACATCTTTAAATACAATATTAATAAGCCCGCTCCGATCCTACCGGCCGCTGCCATCCAGAACGGACGTACGACTCGACAGTTGTTGGACCTCCGCATTTTAAATCTCTAATATCTTCTAAAACATTCATTTTAATGATATGCTGTAAAGAGAAATTTTCATCTACATTAAATGCACAATGTATCTAACGTTAAATACGTTGGTTAATTGGATAAGGAATAGTAATATATTGTTTAAAATAGCTTCGTAAATAACACATTATTTTTTTGTAACCTTTAAAAGATAATAATGGTTACTGTGCGTTATCTTTAGAAGATAGACATACCTATACCATTTTGGGCTTTTTGCAGAACTTTTTTTTTTAACAATTCCGTAGGACATTATTTTGGTCTATACGAAATAGACCAAAATAATGTTAAGGTTATCGAATAACCAGTGTTTACAATGTAAGTGCACAAAAACATGTTTCTTCCGATAAATCTTTGAAACTCCCAGATTTTCTGTACTATACATATACATGAATTATACATACAAACTCTCTCTATTGGTGCTAGCTCTAATCTAAGCGTACAACACAAAAAAAAACTTTATTTTATACTGGTAAAGAAGTATAAAATTATTTACATATTACGTGTATTTAAAATAAATTGAATAATTAAATGGTTTAAATATGTTTTTCTTCGGAATAAGTTTTATATTAAGTAAACAATATGAGGATAAAGAATGTTATATTTATTATTCTATGAATTGAACACCGAAACATTGAATTTTATTTGTAACAAAAATTTATCTTAAAATCTGATTTAAATTCACTCATATGTTTTTCCTATGTATTTTCTGCCACAATTCAGATCGCTTGTAAAAAAAACCAAGGAGTGATCAACCTCGGGGAATACGTTACGAAACAGGCTCGGCAAAAGAATACTTAACTTTTTTCGTGTCCGGAATTTGATGAAACTTGGATTCTTATTTAAGAGGACGGATGACAATCAATCAGAGCACGGAGCACGTATGGTGTGAACCATTGTACAAACAAAACGAATCTATAATCTTCTTTACATAATACAAAATGACGTCACCTTTTCTTTTCCTCGTTTAAAATAAAATGAGATCTAAAGGTGTAATGGAAAAGTGCTTGGTACATTTTTGAATGAACTTGCTTGCTTTTCAGTTAATTTAGATTTTTTTTTTTTGCTTGTTTATTATTTATTTTAATTAGCTGCATTATAGGAGGGTTTAAATAAAATTTCGCACCGCGCACAAGTCACGTGCCGACCCCGTTAGGCTAGACAAAAAGTTCAACAATTTGTTAGTTCTTGATAAAGCTCCTAAAAATATAAGCGAAATCTCATTCGATTCGGAATGACGTTTAGAAAAATGTATCGAAAGTATGTATTGGCACATAAAAAATTGCAATTGTTATTAATAAATTAAGATGAAAAAAGATAGCATTCGTTTTTTGCTAATAACTCAAGAATAATTAACATTTAAGGAATTTTGAAAAAACATCCTTAAAGAGGAGGAAATTACCAAGAAAAAAGATCCGACGCTCGCTACTCTATCTCTATTATTTATAATTTTAATGTAACGACAGCCGTAACGACTTAGGCGAACTACCGCTAAATACATTGTACCACATTAAATATTCTTTTTAGTAACAAATTTTAATTTAATAATTTGTATAAATTCTGGTATTATCTAGACACTTGAAAAAATAAATACCCGTTGGAAAAAATCTTTGTCAATTTTTCAAAATATTAATTAAAAATAGTATAACCTATTGTTAATTCAACTTTTTTTCCAATCTCTGTTATCTTAAACGACTAGATAAGTTTAAATAATTTATCTATAAATTTTTAGCTTCGTGGAGCCCTTCTTATCTATTTACGGGCCTTATGTTTTAGACGGGCCTGTTGGTCTGGTCACTAGATATTTTAACAAAAAAAAGTGTGTGTGCAATTCACACGCGGCAGAAGTGAAACTTTCAGAAAAAAAAAAATCTTCATCTCAGAAAAACCCTAAAAACTTTTGCCCGGCACGGGAATCGAACCCACTAAGGCAGCGTTTTTCAAATTCAACGGTTAAAGTCGCGGGTACCAGCTGGCATTATATAAAAAGATAACAATATTCACACTATCAAAATATTCTATTAAAAATAATGTGTCATCACATCACATCACATCAACAGCCTATACTAGTCCACTGCTGGACATAGGCCTCTCCTTAGAAAGGAGGTTTTAAATAATGTGTAATGTATTTTAAAAAAAAAAACAAGAAATTTTTTATGTGCTAATCCATATTTTCGTGTGCGTTACCCCAGCAAAATAATGTCGAAAATGGTCATTTAAACTTTATAGATAATTAGTTGCTCCCCTTCTGTAATTGTTAGGCACATTTTTAAATTTGTTTCACTTAAACTTTTTTAGTTATTTCAAAAAAACATTTCCTGCTGGGGTAACGTTTGAAACGTTACCGCAGCCAGACAGTTTCTTTTTTAATTGTAATATTGAAATAAATTTTAGTTAGAGAATTAGTTATCTGGACTAGGTAAATGTTACAACTTATTTGGTATTTGTATTTTCTTCGGCTGCGAAGTTATTCGAAATCCTGCTGGAGTAACGTTTGTGGGTTTGCTGGATCTCTGAAACGGGTAAGCGGATTGTAACCATCTTTTGTACATAACTTCTTAAGGATTAGTTTAAATTTGTTCGACAATAAAATCACAAAAATAATGGACCGTTTAAAAATTATTTAGGTAAGTATGAAAACACTTCAATACGTCCTAACACTTTAAATAAGACCTCTAAAGACTTACTTCAAACGTTATTCTATTGCTTGAAACTACCTTCAAATGTATACGAATTTTCGTAAGAATACTATAAGTGACTAAAAAGTTATGATTAAATGTAGCTCTCCACGTTCACGATCACAATGTGTGCGGTCTTTTTTGGCCACCGATAAACCTGTGTGTGGATATATAAACTGTATGTTATGCTAATAATTAGTTGTTTAGTTCAGTTGTCTACCTGTAGAATTTCAGCGTCGTACATATAATAATTTACGAGATAATTAAATAAAAGTCATTAGAAGGTGCAAGTCCGTGGTAATCCGACCATGTTTAGGTGGTTACAAAAAAGCGATCACCCAGTACATTGCGCTGTCTTTTAAAATGTTTAGTGTAATACACCTTACGATTTCGGTACAGTTGCGTACAGTGTTAAATACATTCAATATTTATTAATTATTATTACCTATTATTTATTTTGTTTTTTTCCCTAATTGATCTTAAGCACTAGTTTCTTCACTTAAAATTTCTTTAGTCTTTTTTACTACCGGAGCTACAATCAACAGAAAATCTGCACTGGTCCGCTAAAATTATAAATATGTAGATATATGTATGAATCGAAAATTTAAACCAATAAGAAATCGTTTCATTTCTTTGATTTTTTTTGTAAAGAAATAACACTAAAGTAATTGTATTTTATTTTGGGGTGTATAGAGCTTAGACTTGAATGCATCAAAATATTTAAAGCAACAAGTCATCTACAATAAGTTGAAATAGACCGAATAGTAGAAGAATACAGTTGTAAATTAGAATGCATCAACATTGCATCGCCCAACAGTCGTATACCTCGTAAGAGTAGGTAATATTGTTCTGTGGCCTATACCGAGAACCGAGAATTATTTATACCTATGTACCTACCGTTAAGCGTTGAGCCCGTGACTGTTGATTTCTGTTAAAAACGAACAGTTTTTGAATGATATTTTGATATAATAACGGTAATTTAATTTATCGAGTGAAAGTGATACATTTTTATAGATAAAATTATTGGTCAGATAATATTTGTCAATCAAGAATCGCTGATAATACATCCTTCGCTAGAACGCGGTAGGGGAGGGGCGAAGGGATACTTCATTGTTTGCAATTGGCATCTAGTGCACTAAACTTGACCCTTAGGCAGATAATATACATGTTGTGAAGTACGTGTGCGCTTCCGCTTTCTATTTTTGCAAATATTTATCGTATTCTTGAGAGTTCTTCAATATGTGTGTACCTAATTACTAATAATGGGCATTAATGCTAATTCGATTCAATTTAAGTAATTGTCAATTCTTGTCTTAGGATATTAATTACTAATGCTAATATTGAAATTTCGTTCAGGGTGAACAAATTAAAAACGATCATAACTTGTAGGTAGGTATATCACTTATTACTAATTTTACATAAATAATTTATTTTATTATAATTTAACTCACCGCGATTTTGTGATCAAATATTTTATTTTCTCCAACATTATTACAAAAAAATTGCAATACAGAGTTTGTTCGCGATATGCTAGCCTAAGTCGATTCATCACTTAAAAAAATCCCCATCTATTCACAAAATATCTATTTACAACGCATACGTCACACTCTTCAAAACTTAAATTACCTATACCTACCCTAAAATTAAACTTCAATTAACAAATACTACGCAGGTACCAATTCTATGAACAACTATAAACAATTCACCTTAAACATTACGAGAAAACAAAAGCATTCAAAACAATACCTAATCTCCCTGCTGATTACTAATTATGCAATAAACAATCCTAAATAAAAATTATTTAAAAAACATGTAGTTTTTTGTAACACTTATGTACATATCCGTAGTAAACTTGCAAATAATATCCTACATATTTTAAAAGCCAGCACAATGTACTGGGTGATCGCTTTTTTGTAACCACCTAAACATGGTCGGGTTACCACGGTCTTGCACCTTCAAATGACTTTTATTTAATTATCTCGTAAATTATTATATGTACTACGCTGAAATTCTACAGGTAGACAACTGAACTAAACAACTAATTATTGGCATAACATTCAGTTTATATATCCACACACAGGTTTATCGGTGGCCAAAAAAGGCCGCACACATTGTGATCGTGAACGTGGAGAGCTACATTTCATCATAACTTTTTAGTCACTAACAGTATTCTTACGAAAATTCGTATACATTTGAAGGTAGTTACAAGCAATAGAATAACGTTTGAAGTAAGTCTTTAGAGGTCTTATTTAAAGTGTTAGGACGTATTGAAGTGTTTTCATACTTACCTAAATAGTTTTTAAACGGTCCATTATTTTTGTTATTTTATTGTCGAACAAATTAAAACTAATCCTTAAGAAGTTATGTACAAAAGATGGTTACAATCCGCTTACCCGTTTCAGAGATTCAGCAAACCCACAAACGTTACTCCAGCAGGATTTCGAATAACTTCGCAGCCGAAGAAAATACAAATACCAAATAAGTTGTAACATTTACCTAGTCCAGATAACTAACTCTCTAGCTAAAATTTATTTCAATATTACAATTAAAAAAGAAAATGTCTGGCTGCGGTAACGTTTCAAACGTTACCCCAGCAGGAAATGTTTTTTTGAAATAACTAAAAAAGTTTAAGTGAAACAAATTTAAAAATGTGCCTAACAATTACAGAAGGGGAGCAACTAATTATCTATAAAGTTTAAATGACCATTTTCGACATTATTTTGCTGGGGTAACGCACACCATATTTTCGTTACATTTTTCTAGACATCATTCCGAATAGAATAAGTCATCATTCACATTTTTAGGAGCTTTATCAAGAATTAATACGTTTTTGAACTTGTTGACTAGCCTACGTCTCCAAAGCACGTGGCGGCAGTGCGAGCGAGTATTCGACAGTTTGCTTAGCAGCAGCTTAGTGGTAAATATCAATTTTATTACAAAAATGTGTAATGTCTATTAGCCATTGTGTTATTTTAGGTACAGAATTTTGCTATTTGTCAGTGCTAAATAACAGAATGGGATTTTCTAATAAAATAATATTTTCAACATCATTACACTATGGGTATCTCACTCTAGTATCTACATTTATAAATCATCTATAAAGCAAAACTATTTTATTTTAGTTGCAAAGATTCAAAACAATTTTTATCTAAAATTAGGTATATTTTCATTCATAATTAATTACAAAGCTAAAATTCATTTGTAAACACTATTTTTTATTTTCTTTTTTATTAGTAACAGAATGAAAATTAACAAATAGACAATAAATATACATGTTTTTAAAATCTAAATCACAATTGTAAGTATCAACTACAATAATTTTCTTAAACTGCAGATAATACAAGAAAATGTGTTTGCACAATACAGTATAGGCAGACACAATTATCCCACTCCTAAAAGACACCTTTGTGTTTCATATTCATCAGGAGTTTAATCACAAGATAACCACTTCTATAATCATTAAAAGTTCTCAAGATTTGATTTGTTTTTGCCTTGACACATATTGTCAGTGAAGTTCTAGAATTGCTAGCGTAAGTCATTTGTTATAAGTTTAAAATTTTGATACCTTTTCTTGAAGGAAGATCACGCAGTACTTTTGGACTAGTCAGAATGGGGATGGTTATTATGTGCTAATATAGATCTCCAACATTTTGCCTCACCACATGAGATTAAATCGAGTTTAATAGAAGATATTATGATATTAATATCTTAAAAGAAATCATAGGAGTTTTAATAGATTTTAAAACCTACAAGATATAAAATCTTCATTTTGTAAACCTACATGAGGTTAATTTATATTTTTCAATAAAACTACAACTGTGTAAGTAATCCTCACAAAGGTTTCACAACAGTCACTTAATTGTTTATGGATTTTAACCTGCAGATATTTTCAATTTTTCACTCTGTAACACAATTAGTGGAATAGAACATTTATTTTGTTTTTCGAAGTAGACATTTTTGACTTACATACTGTTAAAACTTCACTTACAAAATGTATATAAAGAATGTGACTAAGTAATTATTTAACAGCGATTTACATTCTTTGATGCAATTTAGCTATTCTGCCTCAAAGAATTGTACTAATAAACTGATTTCAAAATACTCTATAAAAGGGCAAAGGACTAAAAAATATCTACATTAAGTGCTGGCAATAAGTTGACAGAAGGTAATCATTGCAACTATATAATCTATATGCTAAAGGATTCTCCACAGCCACATGTTCCTTTAATATTGGGATTGTTGAAGACAAATTCAGCTGATAGTTTATTTTCTACAAAGTCCATTTCAGTACCTGAAATTAAAAAATATATTCGATTATTTTTTCCACAACTCTCCGCAATCTGAATAAAAATGTTAAAATAGTTTATTCGTGCATTACAAAATATGTTCAAAGAACAAAATTAGGAAACAAAATTAAACATTATGTTTAGTAACACACCTAGCAGAGTTAACTGAGCCTTTTTGTCTATAATTATTGTTACACCATCCTGTTTAACTTCTTCGTCTAATTTTTCCTTACTCTTCGCATAGTCTAGTGTGTACGATAAACCATTACATCCTCTTTGTCGCACACCAACTTTTAAACCTATAAAACCCTTAGCTTCTTCTTTGGACATTATTTCCTTTACTTTATTCACCGCATTTGATGTTAAGACAAGTGCAGTCCTTGATGGTAGCACTCGTTTCTTTACAGCCCTTACAGTAGCACTTGCAATCGTTTTTGTAGCCATCTGAAATTTGTTGTGTTATTAATACCTGCGTAATTTCTTAATGACGTTTAAATTACATCTAATTTAAGCATGCAACGGAAGTTCTGTGCACATAAACAGTACCGTTTTAACACTACGGCGTAATTATTATATTTTTTTCTAATTTATAAAAATAAACTGTTTCATAATTAAGATTCTGGCTAGCACTTCGATTTAATTTGTCAATGCCAGTCATCTGTCATTGCCACTAGTGTCAGTGATGTCATTGATCAGGTCTGAAAAGCAAACAAGGTCCCATAGATTAGTCAATTAAAAACTGATTTTGCGTCTTATGACTAGTAGTTGTAGTTTTTAATATTAGAATTAAAATGTTGAGATTTGATTTGCCATGTACATTTAAGTATGTCCAGTACCCAGTTAGATTTTCATTTCCAGAAGATAATTTAAATTAGTCATTTACTGGGAATATAAATCCGCAAGGCTAACTTTGGCAGTGTGTGGAATACAGCTTGCATTGCCATGTTTGTCCCTTAAAACATGGCAATGCAAGCTTAGAGCAAGGCATAGAGTTTTTCTAGAGATAAGCATACACCTCCTAAGAGCAATAGTATGTAGTAGTGATGGACAGCAAGAGACAATTTATTTTAGCATAAGTGCAATGGAGACACTCATATTTTAAGCTAAAGAGTGTTTACTTGAATCGCTAATCTCAGAAACTACTGGTTCGAATTAAAAATTCTTTAGACTAGATTAGACTGATTGAATTTAAGATTTAGTTGGACAAATATTTCAATAAAGTAACTGCCTAAATTCAACCACAATAACTGCTTCTCATGTAAACACCCTTGATAACATAGATAAAAAAGAATAAAAAAAAATCCATTGCCTGCATAGTGCTTTTCATTTGTCAAATTTTCTGTAAACAAACAGCCCCTAATCTTTAAGTTTGTTCTTACGACTTCCTATTTCCTGGTAATAAGCAGTGTAATTGGTCTTTTATTGGAAACCAAAACCAAACACTGTAAAATTTACGTCATGTTGAAATCATAACTGTGATATTGATACTAACCATTCAATGGATTTTTCATTTTGATATTATAATAATATCCATCTTCTCCTTGCCAAAACATCAACGGGTATTACAACCTTTTATATGAACGACCTGTTTCAGATATTTTGCCCAGTATCGTGATACTGTGCTTACAGGTCGTGACCTGTAAGCACAATATCGCGTGTTTCCAAGTTTTCACCAACAATCAGGATGGCAATAGATCTATTGTTGGAGCGTTAAATGTGCGTTCGTGTGCTCCAGGTGGTCGTTTATCCGCTCTTATCACGACTTTGTAAAAAAAAGAAAAAAAAAAGAGTATCCTGTGTCCGTCTCCTCTTCTGGTTCTAAGCCACCACCCAATGTTCAGCCAAATCGGTTCAGCCGTTTTTGGGTTATAAATAGTGTAACTAACACGACTTTCTTTTATATTTAGAAATTGTAAAAACAAATTCAAATAAAGACATTTTTGAATTCGCAACAACTATTGAGTATAGATTTGTAGAGGCAAGCAGAATCATCTCAGAAAGTTAAGAAAAGTGTATCCTGAAAATAGAGGAATACTGAAAAACTACGAAATGAAGATAGCTGTTGTAGACGGAATGAAGTATGCTGAGTTAAAATTTTATATTAGTTTATTGTCTAAAAGTTATTACACGTTTATTTATTGTCTATTTTCGCAGTCTAGTAGACAGTGTGTCTAATAATTATTTATGCCAGTATAAATGTATCCTAAGCTACCGCATCCTCATTGACCGCATTTTTACGGACACTTCATTGCACAGAGATGTTTGCCTTTGCCTCTATCCTCCATAGCTCAGCAACAAAACATAGTAAAAACGTATAGCACGGTACTATTATAATACAGTACTCCAACTTCATACAAACGGACGAAACGGGAGCTATACCTACGCGCCTCGATCTCGGGGTGCGCTCGGGGCGCAGACAGTCACGGCTGTACCGCAGTGTCGAACGGACTGCGTGTTGTTTTTTTAACAATAACCGCGCGATTTTTTCTCTAAAAATCAGTTAATATGAGGAGTAGGAAATATTGTGTTGTTTTTGGTTGTATGAATTCGTCAATAACGCATCCAGACATAAGTTTTTTTAAATTACCTGGAAACTCTGAAAAGTAAGACTATAAAATAATTTTACTTACTAGTACGTAGGTACATAATGTGTGTCTTTTTAATGGATAAGTATTTCCTTTTATCTCACGAAAAAAAAGGTGTTTGGATGAATAAATAAAGCAAATAGAGTAACGGAAAGTTACTGAGACGAGTGAAATAGGGAGTTACATGCGGTTCTGAATGAATCATGATACGGTAGGTACCTACCTACTTACGCTTGTGTTAAAACTTCGGTGCATGTTTGTTTTGTTACTTTGCATAATTCAAAAAAAAGAAAATTCAAATTAAAGACGTGGTATTTTATTATTAATAATATTTGTTTATTATCTGTGTGTAAGAATAATACTAAAAAAAATTTGTTACCGTCTGTGTGTCATTAGACAGTTTTCGAAATTTCCACAAAGTGTTTCTGCTGCTACTATAACAACATATACCACTAAAAACTGGTTTTATTTTCTCGGTATTAACAACAACAGCTAGACTCATATATAATATTTAGATGTTTGAGGGTTGTGATTTTAAAACATTCGTAGTCAGCTGTTCAGCTTTTTAATAATTAATTAATTGGTGACCAAAGAATTTTTGTTTTGAGTTGTTGCGAGTTGTAGGTAGGTACCTAATTTATAGAGACGTTAATAAGCTGAGATAAAAAGTTACTTACTCGTCAGCTGTTTCTTGCATTCTAGTTGAGTAGGTGGTAGGTTGGAGTTTCTAAGGATTGGAGTTTTGTAACGCGTATGGAGAAAGCACATTTATTTTATTTTATAGAAGGATTTTTTTCGGTCGCTAATTTATAAGCCCGATTTGTTTTTCAAACAAAAACATGTTTTTTAATTAAATCTACCAATCAAAAAACAACACGCATTTTTATTGAACAATTCCTATTCAATATACAAAGTATTTCATTTATTTATATAAAAAGGATATTTACAATCACAAATCTAAACAGAAACAGAAAGTAGGCAAATATAATTAAAATGCTGGAGACGGGCAGCCCTAACGCATGTTTAAGTACCGCGCGGCTGTAGGCATTTATTTCTATCATGCGGCCGAGTTACAATACTGTATTATAATAGTACCGTGCGTATAGTCTGTGAGCAATGAGCTGGAGACTAGTGTTGGGTTTTCGATTTCGAAATTTATAAATTATTTTTAATAGTTCTTTGAAAATAATTGCTTGCAAAAATTTACTGACGACTATTTTAAAATATCAGTAGAAATTAAAAAATATTATCAGTATTTTAGAAGTAAAATTTATGTATTTTATATTTTTTAATCTTTCTTTTAAAGATGTGCAGCGCGTCACTAAATGACACGTCTCCTCATATGCCAATCGTTTTTGTGTGGCGTATAGTATGTAATGATTTTTCTTTCTCAATGTATTAAAAATTAACGATGGGTGGCCAGAAATTTGAATATGATGAAAGCGGATCAACATTCTTCTATTTTGTATTGTCTTTCCTAGCCTTGATACTTGTACCTGCAACATTTTATTATTGGCCAAGAAAAAGGAAAGAAGGTAAAAATTTCATGTTTTGCTACAATTTGACTCATTTAAGCACGATGTTAAAACAGTTACATACGAATGTAGCATCACCATTGATAATGGATGTAGCTCGTACTTTGATTGGAATAATTAGATAATTACCGTTATGTCAGAAACATAGATGACGAAGCGCATTATTATGACTAAACCCGGCATAACCCTGTAATAAACCTTATTAAGCTTGAAATTATTTTGTAGATCCTGCAAAACGCGAAGAACTATGTCAATGCCCAAATTGTATAAGCAAACAGCATATAATAGAGCAATCACAACCTTATAAGGGAGTAAAGAATTTCTTTATAAAACTAGCAATAATATCAGGATGGGTGTTACTTGGATTCCTAGCGTACAAAGTGTCACAATTTGATTATGAAATGTCTAATTTCGATCCATATGAAATATTGGGCTTACCTCCGGGTGCAACTCAAGCAGAGATTAAAAAGTCATATCGCAAACAATCACTTATTTTGCATCCTGATAAAGAAACTGGTGATGAAAAAGCTTTTATGAAGCTTACTAAAGCCTATCAGGTGAGCCGTTTTAAGAATACTTTAGAATATCTTATAAAAAATGTTTATTAAATGTTATTATACTTATTATAGTCTCTCTAATCCAAGAGGTACCATTTGACAGTTGTGACAGATTGAAGTATAGCGATGGGGTCTAAGAAATTGATTATTACAATATCTGATTCTTACGAGATATAGATATAGATATCATTTCTTAGTATGTACTAATCGATTAAAGTTTTACAGATTTATGTATGTTACTATAAAAGTCCATGTAATAGAGTATCAAAGGTTTTACTAGTAAATCTCAGTATACACTAGACTTGGACACAAGCGATTTTTCCAACAAAGATTTGTTTAAAATTACATTAACTTACATAATTTTAACTCTAATTATGCATTTTCGTTGACCGTTGGATGTCAGATGAATTTTAGGTATTATTAAACACTAGACACCTGGATTGAAAATTCCTTGTTATTAATAAATTTGATTTTTCATACCATTAACAATTATTCGTAACCAAGTGATTTTGAGGAGCCTCAACACTACAGTAAACGAAGTTTGAATAAAACATCTATTGTGTATAAATTGGTTATTTTGCTTTGTTCCAAAGATTTAAATTTAGTAATTAAGAATTGTACATATTGCAATAAAATAAAAATCACTTCATAATTCCATGGTTTAATGGAAAAAGTTATTGAAATTGTGTGAGTCACACCTATACAAATTTGTTTCGTCCTGAAAAGTATGAAACGTCAAACTGTGCCTCTTAGATTAGATGAACTATCAACTTTTTAAAAATGACAACTAATGTGTGAAGCATTCTAACTTTAGGATAATTTTAGGTACCCTATTATAATTTCAGTATTAAAGCTCTTATTTAATAAAAAGAGTAAACAAAAACCTATATTTTTTAAACTATCTTTTAAACTCTTAGTATTATATTGATGAGTCCACTCTGGCACTTTTCTTACAAATCTAACAAACATTTCAAATATTTATAACATAGAAGTTATTATTCAATACAGGCACTCACGGATGAAGAGGCTCGGCGTAATTGGGAGAAGTATGGAAACCCAGATGGTCCTGGTTCTATGAGTTTTGGAATTGCTTTGCCCAGTTGGATTGTTGAAAAGGAAAACAGTGTGTGGGTGCTTGGACTTTATGCTCTTGTATTTATGGTAGCATTGCCAACGGCTGTAAGTTCTATTTTAATTTCTTTAAATTATAATAAAATTTAAAGTTATAGCTAAAAATATAGCTGACATATATACATATAACCCTAGTTAGATACACGGGTTGAATAACAGTCTAAAAACATGATAAACTTTTTTTTTTCATTACAAATGTAGCTTATTTTTATCCTACATCAATGCATAAAGTATAGAGTATTTATTTTTAATGCAATTTTCAGGTTGGTACCTGGTGGTACCGCTCCATACGGTTTTCAGGGGAGCAAGTATTATTGGATACAACTGAGATATATTTTTACTTCTGTCATAAGACACCGTCTATGCCTTTGAAGAGAGCACTTATGATCCTCGCTGCATCCTGTGAATTTGATAAAAGACATAACTCTGAAATTATTGAAAGGATTACAGATAATGAAGAGGTTCCAATGGTATGTGTTATTATCAGTAATAACCATATATAAAAAACAACGTTGTAGAAATTTTCCTTTATACATACATATTTTAAGTAGCAATAATTAAAAAAGAAACTTAAATGTATGTGTGTAGAAAACAGTTTGGAATAAATTTTCTGTGAAATTCATTTTCACTGTTGACATTTCTTTAGCCAATTTTGTAAACATTATGGTAAATAATATTGACATAACAAATCAATTTATGCTTGTTTTCTGCTTTACTAAAAAATAAATAATGGTGTCAATTTTTCTATTTACAGCTGCTTCGTGAACTACCGAACTTGGGTGAAAAAAACAAGGAGCAGCCTTTATGTCGCCCTTACAGTATAAAGGCGCGTGCATTACTCCATGCACATTTATCACGGATGCGTCTCCCGCAGGACACACTGGAATGTGACAGAAGATATATTGTGGGCAGGTGTCCTGACCTTATTGTCGAAATGGTTAACTGTGTCAATCAGTTAATTGCTCTAGCTTATGCTAGAAGAAGTAAGTATCGAAGTAAATCGTTCATTAATAAAGGTTTTATATAAACTGGGGTATTAAATCTTTTCTAATCTTTTGGAGATCATCAACAATAAAACCTTACACAACCTTACATAAATTTTCGTACTTGCGTTCTAAACGAGAAGGACTATGTATGTTAATTGTATACAGTGTATAAAAGAACTGCTCTTCATCTAAAAATTCATCTAACTACAGCATATATAAGTTACCAATACACATTATGTGATGATACATATCACAAAAAATGAAATAACAAATAACATGGTTTAATATACGTCGGTTAAAATAAAAAAAATAGTATGAAAATACAGCAATGCAAATTTAGAACAAAATAAATAAATACAACAAAATAATTGCCGCATTAGAACACCATTGATATCATGAGTGGGTGAACTGTAGCAAAGCGACGCCGCCGCCGCGACGAGCCGGCGAACTTTACATTCTTATTACCTACCTACTAATCACGTCACTTGCTTTTTAAAATCTATTTATTAAAAATACGATTTTATTCACGTGTTTATTTTGGGCTCGACTGTCTTCGGACCCGGCAGCACGTGTCACTCCTTGAAAAAGTAGGTACTTTGGTTGTCTCGTAATCTTTGTACGCCCTTACAAAAATTCGGCAGTCTGTAGGATATACACGATTGACTCCATACCTGTCCGTAAAGCTAAAGAATAAAGATGCGTTTTGATAGTTTCCCATAAATTAAAATCATGGCAGGATATTCCGCGGCTGTGAAGGTCACTCACGGCATTATGGATGTTAATACCGATAACCCAATAAAATTAAAAGACTGATAATTCACTAAGTTTCACACTACACTACACATAGAACCTAATTATGACACTTCAAAATAAAATTAGCAGGACTCGTTACATTACGAAGTCTTGCGCACACGATAACATTAATTGTTCACACCATTGCCGTGTAATATGACGAAAGCAATAAAACTAAACAATTATTAACACTAGAAAACCTTTCTAAACAAATATCTCATGAAAAACAACAATATTATTATTACGGTAATTTGTCGTGAGCGCATCTACAAGGATACAGAATAGCATAACACTCGCCGGTGGCCAAGGGCCGACTGACTGTCCTTACTGGATGAACTAATTAAAAACGCGTGTCCTTTATCCTGATGACGCAATAATCAACATATTTCGTTCGATTCGAGTGTAGTAAAGGCGGCAACATGTGATTACCGCGCCGCGTATACAGCTGATCACCGCCTGAGGTCAATGTATTATGACTGCATTTACACATGACGTTGCAAATTACGAAAACAAAAAAAATGTCCTGTTTCTAAACCACTGAATATTTTTTGTTCATATTTTGCAAATCGTCGAGAAATAAAGTGCAGAATATGTGGTTTACAGATTCGTTAAAAGATAGGTGATAGAGAATAAACTAACTAGAATAGAGCATACTGCTTCCTTAAAGGGCGGCAATCGGCAATCGTTCCAATAATAATAAATAAATTATATGCTTACTTATATTTTTTATCGGCTCTATATGTAAAACTGTACAAGTTGTTAACAAAAACAATGATACTATTCATTAATTAAACCAATTTTGTTTTCTTTTTCAGTACCCCGTCTTCCGACCATTGAAACAATTGAAAACTGCATGAAACTTTCTCCAATGATTGTTCAAGGATTATGGGAATACAAATCACCTCTTCTTCAACTACCATACATTACTGAGGACCACTTAAAGTACTTTACAAACCGAAAGAAGCATATTAAATCATTGCTACAACTGGCACAGTTGCCTGGCGAGGATAGAAGACAGGTGCTTAGATTTTTGAATGACAAGCAATATGATGACCTCATGAAAGTGCTTGGCAAAATGCCTTACATACACTTCCAAGTGAATACAGAAGGTATAGCTTATAAAATACTTGGTTAGACCATTAAATAGCTATAAGTAGTTTTAGCCAAGTTCATAAAAAGAAGGATTTTTTAAATGTTTGTTACCTCTGAACTCCGCCAAAATTCCCATTTAGCCCCATTCAAGTTAATAGAAAAAATACCTCCCAAGAGGGTTGAAATGAAAGAATAAAGTTAAAAGGTTTTTTTTTGGTTTACTACACGAAAGCAACTAAAGACATTACACATTATATCATGCTTTGGTAGTTTATCGTAAATGTAAGAAATATTTATCATTATAAAAACTTAACATAAATAGTAGCATTGAAAATATAATGCTGAAGGCTTTGGAATTGTTACTAATTGGTTGAATCTTCATACCCTACCCGGTACCCTACCAAATGTTTAAAACTTAACTTCATAGTATCAGAAGGACATCAGAAGAACTTACCATAATACACTTAAAAAATATTTCTAAAGACTTAAAACTTACAATTCATGCTTTTTGGGAATAATTTATAAACAACACACTCTGTTTACCTTCTCAAATAATTGATAGTATACCTGTAGTGTTTGTAAACACGATTATGAAGATAGATGTTTCTTTGTAGTGATTGATGATGAGAACTCAACTGTGGTGACTGCTGGCGCTATAGTAACAGTCACAGTATTCCTCCGCCGAACTAACATGAAGGAATTATTTGGTGACATGAGTATCAAAGAAAAGGAAATTATTAAGTGAGTTTTATAATGTATAATTATTTTTCCTTTTCTGTAGTTGATTTTCAAGTCCCTTTAGTAATATGTACTTAATATAGTGAAGTCAAAAGTAACTCTGACTGTCTGTTACGTTTTCACAACTAAACTGCTGAACTAATTTTTGTCGAATTTTGGTGTTATAGATAGACGGGACCACGAAAAAGTACTTTTTGTAGCGGAATAGAGAAAGAAAAACATTATGCTTGAAGTATTTATTTTACGCATATGAAGTCGCAGGCATCAGCTAGTGTGTAATAAAGTAAAGCCCTGTCGTTTTATGATACCGTTTTTTAGCACTCTTATTTATTTTACTTGCTATTTTATCAGGGAAGAAGAAGAAGGCGGTGGGGAGAACAGTGAGAAGCCCGAAAATGACAAGAATGACAAGAAAGAAACGTTCAAGCGCCCAGTGTGGATGAAACAACAAACGAAAAAACACCCGGCTTCCAAAAAGGCCAAGAAGACCGTGGCGGCTAAAGTGCAGGCCAAAGCGCCACCAGCCCCGTCGACACCTCCCCCATCGAGCAACGAGACAAAGAAAACTAAAGAACCAAAGAAGAAGGATGAAGAAGGTAATTCATGCAGGATCAGGAAGGTGCTAACTGGTGCCCACAACTTTGTTTGTGTAGAATCTTTCCTTCAAAATATTTTATACCCCATTTTACTTCCTATTAGTATTATTTTCCCAATAAAAATCTTTTATTTCTCTGGCCTATTCATCGCTTCGCAACCAACAAAGAGACACTGTTACTTTCGCGTGTATAATATTAGTAATAGACTTCTAGAGTATAAGACATATTTTTTGTTTAATTAATGCATTTTTTTTAAATTCCATAAAATTACTGTGCAGCAGGCCCAATATATATTATAAATATTAAAAAGTAGGCTAACTAACCAGCAACACATTTCCCCTAAATCATTTTCATATCGTACAAAGATTTACAGAATTTACCGTCAGCTTTGAGCTGTGTTTCAAAGTATGCTTATGCGAGAAATTTTGTTGCTAGTTTCGTCAGACCACTAGTGGAAAGAATATTTTGATTGTACATGTTTAGATATATACTTAGAAATAAATATATAGATTCAATACAAATAATAAAGATATTTATTTCATACCAAAAAGTTATGAAAAAATAACGATAAGTTAAAACAAATTCATCATGCGAGTATAGGTGAACCTGGTTTTATTTATATATTGTAATGTTTTAATTTAGGCGAGGACTCCGAAGTAGGCAGTTCAGACGAATCGGCGTCTCACAGTTCGGGGTCAGACGAAGAGTCACGCCAGGAAAAATCGTCGGCGGCAGAAGATGACGATGATCAGTGGGAAAAATTCCAAAAGAGGTTACAGAAGAGAGAAAGATTGGAAGGGCGTTCAAAAAGTTCCCATCCTGTGCATTGTCCTTACTTCCCACAGGTAAAGATTTTAAGATGTTAACACGTATTGTACATATGTACTAACTTAAACTGTTACTTAACTTATCTTTTCATAAATATAGCGAAATTCTTAATTGGGATATAAAATATCCATTAAATTCACTTCTTTTTTTAACAACTTTATAAACATACATGAAACGGACTCAAACACTAACATACATGAAATGGACAAAACACTTTAAAAATGAGTTGATATTAATCTCCATCAAAAATGATTACACGACGTAGCAAGTGCCGTCTCGGATGTTGATGTCCAATGTAGACGATAAAAACATTTAGCTGGGCATTTCGTTTTAACACCTTATTTTTTCTGCTCTATATTATCTTATACTATATAGTTATCGATCGTAAAGAACACACAGAGCATGAGCAACAAAAGTGATTCACTGCGCAGCATATCTTTGCACTAGGTCGCGATTGAATTTGTGATAAGTTTATCACATTCAGATAAAAAATCTTGTAATATATATATATATATAAATCATTCTGGGATTAAGAGATTCCTTTTTTCCATCCATCATTCCTGATGGTTTTCATCAATATAACAGATACCCTGGCAATTTTGCTGCCGCCTCTCGGTCTTTTAGCAAATGTAAATTAAAATACTTCCGAGTGTTTTTGTATTGAAGTAAAATAACAATATTTTTCCGCTATTTATTTTTTCCGTAACGTGTGGGCCCAAAAGTGGGACCAGTGCCCAAAAGACAGTCCATTAACTGCATACGCGTGTTTTGGTCTAAAATATAATCACATAAACTTATACAGGATTTGAAGATTCCTGGATAGTTACACTATAAGATAGACACATAGGACTGTTTAGTGTTTGCTCGCTGCTTTGGCATTTCTATTATTTTAACTAATTCACCATCTGAATCGTTAGATCTTGTTCTCTTCAATGTCAAAGTGCCTTTTCAAACCGAAATATATTTTTTTACGTTATTTTACGTTTAGTTAGTTTCGAGTTCTTCCATTTGTTTACTAACTGTAAACGTTATTTCAATAACATACAATCTTTTACATTTTTCTTAGCCGATATCGTTATTGAAGTGCCTGTTTCGTTAATGGTTCTATACTGACCTTGGACCTTTAAGTGTGCAATAATGAAAACATTGTTGGCTGTTAAATGCGAACAGCGAAAGTGAAACATACTGTGAATTGAAAGAAAAATGTTCCGTAAACTTTCAAATAATAATAACTTTATTGAACATCAAGTGGTGACGGATTAAGAATACGGAATGTCACCACCCCTATTCATCCCGTGGGTATGGTAAGAGCCGACTAAGGGAGCAAACTACGCAGGACCACAGCACTGCTAAGAGAAGGAAAACTTGAAACAAACCCCTATACCAACCCGTTAGGCCAGCGTGGTATAGTAGGCCAAAACCTCCTTTATAAGGAGAGGCCTAAGTCCAGCAGTGGACTGTTATAGGCTGTTGGTGGTGGTGGTGGTTGGTGAACTTCTATTCCTTTGTTACAATTATACAATCCAATAAATTCTGTATGTTAGGAATAGGCGGGACTGCCACGTCTGAGACTACTGCTAGAAATTGTCGTAGTTCACAATCTACGTTCCATCGAAAACGTAACTTATGAATTTTAATTTCATTATCTGAAATCATAAGACCAAGTATTTCCATTATTGCTACACTGAAAACGTAAGTAATCGGTACTATGGTTTAGGCAATCGTCATAAAATATATAGCAGTTATAGATAGAATCTAAAAATCCCAATTTGCTTTTTACCAAATGGGCAGTAGATTACCAGGCCGTATTTGTTGTTGCAATTCACATTCGGTATTAACAATTTGTATTTCTCTGTTGTGGGACAATGACATCGGTGCTCGTGGAAAATAGTTTGTTAATCTAGACTTTTTTAGTTATGGTTTTTATTTTTTTATGTAACAAAATATCTAATAGTTTATTTAATTAGGTAGTGGGGCGGATACAAGTGTCTTGATCCTCTTTACTGAGCAACTTTTAAGTCTATAAATACTTAAATTTTATAGGCAATACTTACGGAAACCAATTTATAAACATCTACCAATAAGCGAGCGAGTAAGTCAAAATGCGGCGATCTTTTCCAGGTGTTACTTCCATTTTAATATTTACCTCAAAGTGTAAAGGAAAGCTGACGTAACTGATTGACGCATATGCATAGCGGTCAGGGCCAAGCGCATTAGCTTCTTCGATCGCAATTCTACTTCAAAGAAAGCTGTTTGTGAATGATTTTTATAATAAATTATGTTATTCTTGAAATCTGATGTCTACATCTACATTTGTTCGTATTTTATGCATTTTATCCAAATAGGTTATGATTCAAAAAATGATATATGTAGGGTATTTTTAATCTAGATCTCTCAACCGGTTGTTTTCTTTAGGCGAAATGATCGCTCTTTTCATCGCCCGCAGTGGGTCACTACGGACGAAAAACCAAGCGATACTCCCTCAATAGAAAATATTGTTATTAGGGCACGCAAAATAACACGCGGAAAAGATCCTGTATAGTATAGTGACGTATCATTGACCTAAATCTAATTTAAAAACTTTTATGAAATCGACTAAAATGAAAATTTTACTTATAATGGTGAATTATTTGGTAGCAAAGTTTTAAGGTGAATGTAAATATTCGTATTAGTAAGTGAAAATGAAAAAGGGAATTCAAAGACTGATAGTTGCATACGAGGTAGTGGTAGCACTTACACACAATCACCACTAAACAAGCGTTAAGTGACCAAATACGCTACATAGAAGTTTATGAGTTCGTGATGATGATAAACCGACAGATACTCTGTATGTAGTGTGCAGATAAGGTTAATACAAATACAGCTATAGGTTTAAATTGTTTTTTATTTTGATATTCTAATGTTGAAAGTGACAAATATTAAAACTAATGTCAAAATGGCTTGCAAGTAATTTTTTTACACAGGTGGCAGACTAGCCTACGGCTTACCTGATATGAGTATATTAAAGGAATAAAGATTTCTAATATTAACTCGGTCATTTAAAAGATTGTTACATTAAAATTTTAATTCAGGTTTACGAGGGCTGCTATTTATGTATCAGGAATAACAAAGTGACGAAACATAGCATTAATTATGGTTTTATTGCTTTTCAAAATATTGGTAATCAATTTTCGTAGCACTTTTTCCATTCTGATTGTGGTATCTCCAAAACGTGCATTTTGAACGCATCAACAGCCTCTTCACGGCTCGAAAAGGTTGACCATGTAATTTATTCTTCACGGTTAGGAAGAAACAGAAGTCGTTGGAGGCCAAGTCAGGGCTGTACGGCGGACCCGAAGGTGGTGCCCACGCCGTTGCGGGCAGGGGCTAGCAGGGGTCCGGATGTCTTAATAACAGTAGTTTCCGGATCCCTCCTATTACAGGCGCAGAGTGGCACACCGTGTGGTTTTAGTCGGTCCGATTCTGACACAAACCCCGGTGGGGTGACGGCCCGAGAGGGTTACCACACGCAAAAAGAAAGGCTGTACGGCGTATGCCCCGTTAATTCGATCATTTGATCTTCCAAACACTGAGTTGTTTCTGCCGATGTGTAGCAGCTAGCATTGTCATGATGAAGAAGGATTCTACGTTGTCGGTGATTCTTTCCTATTTCTTCAAAGACTTCTGGCAAATAAATGGTCGTGCACCATTCAGAATTAACCGTTTTAAGATCCTCTAGTAGCACTGTAGCCACATGTCTATTTATACCAAAAAACAAGCGACCACCATGTAGATATTATAGACAGCTTTTGACGCACCCTGATTTTACTTTTGTTAAAAAAAATACACCAATCGACACGAGCCCGTTTTTGGTCAATCCTCAAGTGGTGCGGAATCCAATTTTTTTTTACAGCTAAATGCTCGTGTAATATTTTATATATACTCGTCATACTTATTTCCAGAGACGCCTCTATCTCGCGATAGGTAACATTATTAGTTCCTGCACAGCATCAATATTTTGAGGTACAAGAACCGATTTAGGGCGACCTTCTTTAAATTCGTCCGTGAGCACAGACCGCCCTCGATTAAACTTACTAAACAACTGTGTACTTGTTTTTGATGGTGCTTCGAAAGTCGAAGTGAGTTGATCGATGCACTGTTTTTGAGTTCCCTCACTGAAAATCGTAATAAATCATAGCACGAAAATTTTCACGAGTTAAATCTATAGTGATAAAGACACGCAATTTTCAAAATGGCGCCACAAAGGATAAACAAATGACAGCTACATGAAACAAATTGTATTCTTCAGCCAAAGAGTTCCATTTTTAAATGTTATAATTACTTTTAAAAAATTGTTCTGAAACTGGCCAGTTCCGGATACATAAATAGCAGCCCTCGATTTTAAACTATTTTGTGTGGCGTGCGTATTTGTGCACTTAACGCTTGCTTAGAGACGTTACCAAACGAATTTATTATAGATTTACTCAATAATAATCTGTTGCAACTAGGAGAAACAAGAATACTGGTGGTGCTACATTTGTGACCGTAAGTCACACACTCTACTGACTGCGCCAGCGCACGTGACTGCGCTGGTGGACACGCACGAACTGCAGCTGAGGTTTACAGCACCGCGCTGGCCTGGACTCTATACCCTCGCTTGTTGTCTAAGATCAGGTATGTGTAAAGAATTAAGTCAAAAGCCAATGTAACACTTCATTGAACGATGTTGGTGTACTTTCAATTCTATATAATTTCACCTGGTTGTTCAATGTCCCAGCTAAACTACGACCGAAACCGAATTTCGGCTCCGTTCTCAGTTTCGGCCGAAACTGAAACTCTCAAATTACGCATTATGTGAAAAAAGTAACTGTTCAAAAAATATTTATCATCATCTTTAACCACCGTTCATAGTCCACAGGCATTTCTTGCTGGACATAGGCCTTTCTCTAAAATGAAAGTTTTTTTTCCTTGAATAGGGGTGGTGACACTCCGTATTCTTAATCCGTCACTACTCGGACACACTAAACGACAACGCCTCGGACAACGTACATGTAGATACTTTCCCCTTGTTAGAACACGCGTGTAGGAATTCGGTGTTTCCATTCTATTCCCAAAAGGGCGCGCCCGCTCCACAACGCGTCGCGCCGCCATCCCGGCCTGCTTCTGCTAGGGTGGCAGGTGGCCTAACCTGTCGCCCCCAGGCCTCCCCTTATGGAGGACGGAGGTCGTTTCGCGACCTCCTGCGCCTGAGTCATCTGCGGTACCTGGCCCGATGCCGGGACCGACAGACCGGAAAATTTCTCAACACCTCGCCGTCTCCTTCACAAGCATAACTTGCTCGCAGTAGGAAACAATATTAAAATTGTTCTCTGAGAAAGACATAAATAAGTACGTAAACATTCCTATTTTGTTCTGACGGCTGACATACAATAAACTTATATGTTAGTAATGTACCAGGATGATGTACTTGAATATTGAATGGTGTATATTGAACTGTTTAATTTTGTGTTAGATTCGTACATCGGTATGGACCAGCAGCAGGACATGAAGCTGGACGTAAAGGAGGCAGCTGCCATCCCCGCAGAGCATCCGCAGTGGGACCTTAGCGACTCCGACACGGATAACAATGACCAGGTAACCATATCTAACGACTTCAGAAAAAAACTGTTTCCAACTGTCAGTTGTAAAATGAAATACATTATTTTATTTATCGGACATTTTTTACACATGTGCATTATTAAGTATGTAAATTTAAGTTTAAAAATGTTTCAGACACACCATTAAGTATTGTAAAAATGTGAATGCAGTTTTATTAAACTAGAATTGTTGATTGAATTGAAAACTAATTGGTGTTTGTTTTTAACAGGGAGGCAATGAAAGTGAATTTACAACAGACGATGAAGTTGAAGAGGAGTAGTCGAAGATTAATTAAGTTATTTTTATAGAGTTTATTACGAGGTGTTTGCAGATAGTTTGTTGTATGGTTTGAGAGCGAGTGAATATAATATTTTATATCCAGATATGTTTTATTTTTATTTAAAGCTGGCACCTGCTATTCCTTTAGCATTGAACATTTTGAATTATGAATTTAATTTTGTATTGAAAGCGATATAAGGGACAAAGTAAAGAACAACAGTGCTGCTGTAAAAAACACAATGTAAATACATAATACAAATGTTATTATGATATATATTAATAATGGGTATTACCATTACCCATTATTAATACATTTAATTATATTAGACTAGATACGCCCCGTAACCTGTGATTTATCGTGTGTATAAATCCTTTGGGATTACACCTTTTTTTTTTCTAGATTTATTGATATTTCATGATCGGTTCAGTAGTTACCTCGTCAAACAGTAACAGAATAACAAATAAGTCACTTTCGTGATCACATCAAAAAAAAAAAATAAGGATTAGGATTACAGTCTAAGGTCTTTAAAAGTCATTTAAAAGATAGTTTAAAAAAAAATGGACTTATAAGCGAAAGGTAAACTCTTGATACATCCATTAAGACGTTGAACATTCCTAAAGGCTTGGTAGTCACCGTTTCGAAATTTGTACCTGATTACAATAGATAATCCAGTCAGTAGGCCTTGAGTCTTTAAGTAATGAAGGTAGAAGTTTTAGAAATTATAAGAAAATCAAGCTCTTAGTGAGAGCAAAACCTTTAAATGGAGAGTAAGTAAATCGTCGGGTAAGCCGGCTTATGGTACAATGTTACATGTAGCACTATGTGGAGCTCCAAGTTACACAAAGGGATGTTGGTGCGAGGGTATCGTCCGTTCTCGGAGGCTGTGCGGGCGCGGCCAGTGGGGCCAGAGGGCGCCAGAGGGCGAGGGGTGGAGGGGGCGGAGTGGCGGCGCTCCGCTCGGTACGCCGCGCCGCGCACTCGCGCGCCGCAGCTCGCCTCAGCTCCACGATCGAACGACTCACGCCCGCGCCCGGTGTCGTATTACCGCTCTAAATATAACTTGCGAGCGCGATCGCCAATTTAGAAACGGTCGCGCGCCGTGTTTTGAACCAGTGATTGACAGTGCTAAGTGAAGAATACTACCCCGATACTCGAGCTATCGGCCTTCGATGTAAGTATCCTCGAGATGTAAGTCTAGGCATAAGCGAACTCGTATATGTTGTATTACCGCATCGCGGTTTTAAAATAAACAGCTGTTCTCGGAATCTATAGCGCTAGTAACCGTGCTATATTGGGAGTAGCATCCATTGGAGGTTTTGGGAAATATGAGATGCTTACGATTATTGAACCGATGGCTCAGAAGCGACCCTACGTGCTACCACGAAGAACTTAACTTAATGCAAAAATATATAATCATCCTAGATTGGAGGAGAGCTGTCACGAATTGACATGAAGCTGGATTTATGATGGAGGTGTAGTTACAGATTGACCTCGAAGAATTCAGGAAATTAGGTTTAGGACACGATGACAGAAAATAAATGCTATTGGATCGAACAATAGAATTGTGATAATGATTGTTTTACAAGTTAGTGTGTAGTGTTAAAAAACATTTTGTGCAAATAACCGAATACTGATTTACAACAATTTAAAAATTAAGTAGGTACCTATTTAAAAGAGCAAGACAACCTACGCGTTATCCGTTTACTTTGTCTGAAAGCGATATAAAGACCAAACAAGTCTTAAGATTGGATTTGAGCACTTGCATAAGCGGCAATTGTTGTTGTTACAGTTGATAGATGTAACTGAAAGTTTTTGGCAACCATTTCCGAACCATTGGCAATAGTACCTACCTACAGGGGAGGACGAAGCGTGCAATGTCACTATGATCCCATCGGTAAACTAAAAATCTATAGGTACTATATAAACAAAAAGGAAGGAAAAACAATGTAAGGTTTCCTGCAATTAATAGCATGTCTACTAAAGTAATAGTTGGTAGCGGTTGGTCTTTGAAATTTGACATTGCCTGCCATATTTAGTCGTGAGAGTGCGGGTGTTTTTAATTTATTTATCATATATATATATATATATATATAATATTTCATCATCTGACACACAACGCCATTTAGTTTTAAACTAAGCAGAGCTTGTACTATGAAAGCCAAATTGACTGATAGAATACTTATATACTTTTTTTTGTAAACACATACATGTTATACGTCACGCAAAACACCCAAACTACGAAACAAATATTTGCAGAGCATACATACATTAGATCCAATCCGAGAATCAAACCGCACGGCACAGCAGTCGCATACTCGACCAGTGCACCACCGATGCAGTCGAGGCATGATAAGATAAACATCCTTTTGCAAAAATAGGCCAACAAACAATGATCTATTTATAAGAGAACACAAATTTGTTGGTAATATGATAGCCTTGAATATGTAATGTCATCCTACTATTTGAAAATGTGGGTGGTAAAGTCATGTTCAGACACTAAAGGAATTGCGTAAGAACTGGACCAATGTCAGGATATATTTTAAACATGACTTCTGAACCCCTAGTATGAGTATTTAGTTATAATACCTAGGCATATCTTAAGGATAAACATTATCCATCTCGAAACATTATACATAGCTTCGTTACAAATTGCTCACTTCAATTAAAATAAGTTCTGTAAATTTTTTACATAACTTTTTGCAAACGTTAAACGTGAAACTTATACTACATCCACAGAAAAAAAACATTTGGGCGGCATTCCCTAGCGATGTCATAAATATTTAATACCTCTAACATACTTAGGTTGAGTAAAATAAAACAGCTCAGTTTGACCACTACATCTTACAAATAAATAAAATTAATAGTTGCGATTTATTGTAGTCTAATCTATTCTTTAATTCATGGCTTTCATACACCTACTAGTGGAATAGTTTCATGTGTACTAATGGGTAGTAGCCTCAATGTGGCCTGCAGACCCTGCAGGAACGATTGGTGATATCCAAGCACATTGGCCACGGCCGTGCGCGCGATGAATCGAACCGCGGACTGATAGCGGGCCGGTTAGACGAGTCCCGCCGCCAGAGAGTGCAATGGCCCAAACTACAGGGATTTTAAAACGTTCGTACTTGCAAGCCCTTTGATTTCATACTGCTAGCCTTTGTATTAAAAACAACTTCGTATCGAAACTAATTCATTGTATCTTATACGTTGAGTAGTAAATTGATTGATTATGAATTTACCAAAAGACGATGCGAACGGTTGTCAATATCGATGCGAGCATGTTTACTCATTGCTCATGCTTGATAAGGGAAAGGGAATTAATACAATTAAATTGTTAATATTTGTACTTCATATTTGTTATTCATGGTTATATGTAAATAGAGATGACTCTTATTAACAACATGTTTGTTCGCTACGGGCGCTTTAAATAGCAATTACGTGTAATATATTATCAATCCTTAGAATTGCGTCGCTTAACCCGTCCTATTCAATGTGTACAAAGCGCTATGGTAGCATAGCACTAAAATAATTTCATTCCGTACATTTTCCTTTAGTTGATATCATTAGGTGCAACTTATATATATTTATAAACAATGAATATGTTTATTTATGTGCCTAGTGCCTATACTTATAAACTTGATAATATAGGCTACCTACATGATTTGTTTACTATTTATAAAAACTGACAATGTTGTACTTATTTATTACCTACTAGTTGGTACTTGGTGGTATGGTGGAACTTGAAAAGAACTGTCTTAGTGGGTTCGATTCCCGGACCGGGCAAAATTTTAAAGGGTTTTTCTGAGAGGAAAAATAGCCTAAGTTACTCCTTATATATATAGCTACCTGGTAATAAAATATTATCAAAATCGGTCCAACCGTTTAGAAGATTACCCGGAACAAACAGACATACAGACAGACAAAAAAAACTGGTTTTTAGGCATAGGTATCATGCAAATAACCGTGTGAGCATGAAAAAAAACATTTTTTTGACATTACAAACAGACACTTCAATTTTATTTATTTGTTTAGATTAAAAATATCGTTTCTACGATAAAAAGGCATGCCACATTTGCTGAATTGCTCCTTGTTTTACCTAACTTTTAGGGATAAACTGAGTTGTAGTGTATTTGCGTACATACTTTGAGTTAATAAGGAATTCTGAATAATCACGCTTTAAACTTAGCATTATAAAAATTGTGTCTGTCGTAGATATACCTAAATATGAGTACCTAAAGAAATAATACCTAAAGAAGTCATGCACATATACCTACGTCAGTTCTGTAGTAACAGTATCATTTACTACATTAAGACAGTATTTACAATATTCAAGGGTCAAGAAAGGCTACAGTACAATAATCGCTAAAGTCCTTCCTCGTATTTTATCTCGTATTTTATCGAGACAATTTGAATACAGAACAATTTACTAAACATTGATAATATCTGCAGCATACGGATAAGTTCCGACTTTCGAATAGGTTATGATAAGTCCGTAACAAACAAACTTTGACACAGCCCGCAGACTTTACAATCTTTATGCGTGGTAAGGACTTTCGACTAAGTTTAGTTAAGCCCTAAATATACACTTTATACACAGTCCGTAGATTTCAAACTGTTCATTTTTAAGCAGAATGGTAATAATTTTTAATACATCTACTTACACAAGGCTCTCCTTTGCATCACTCAGAGGTTGGCTGAACTAGAAAAGACCAATATGTAATTATAAAAGAGAAGAGAGAGAAGAGAATTATTATAGAAAAGAAGATATAATAAAAGAAACTACTATACTTTTGCTAATGGATCTAGACTTAGGACAGACGTCAGGTTACACATTAGAAGAGACAAAGAAAGAAGGTAAATTAAGGTAAGGCAAACGAATAGGACGACGGGGCTAGGTAAGGGATACCGTATATCGCGGATGGGAACTTGAATGACAATTGACAATGCCAGTGGTCGAAGAGGCCGTGACCGCATGCCCGTAAGTCCGTTCTGTGATTGGAGAGCCCACTAGAACAGGCTCCTTAACTATCCATTTATAAATTATTTATACGAGTAGTTATCAAAATGTGAACGTGTAATATGCCACTTTCTACCTATTTGGGGAAAAAGGTACAAATATATAAAAATACGCTTAAACTGTTCCAAGAAAAAATACCAACGCTGAAAAACACCAACGCTAATACATACATGCATACATGTATACATACATTTGCCGATGACTGTAGACTGCCTGCGAATTCTTGTTATACGTTTGTATTGTTTTACGACTGTAGGTTGTCACCTTCCGTTTACGTATTACTACCAATTTGAATGTAATTGTCAAGTTCATACTTACTGCGTCGATAGAGTAAACTTGTTTCCAATTTAAACCAAGATGCTACGTTTAATTGTTATCGGAAGCAATGACACACATTCTTAGAGACGTGTACAATTAGAATAATGTTTAACAAGTAATTTCTGTTTGTTGACATTGAAGGGAAGTGACTTTTTCCTGGTAAACATATACCTGTTATTCTTATTTGGAAATTTTAATTGTTGAGTCTACTTATTAGTGGGGATAAATTATAAGCCATTGTACATTTTCCACCGCAAACCTAGGTAGTCACCGATTTCTTTTGGGTTTGCATGCATATATATCAACATTTTTTACTATTTTGTCTGAGGTTCAGAAAAAGGCTTTTAATTTTCATGTGTTTTTCTTTTAATTCTCGGGCCGTAAAGGATGAGTCATACGGGTCGTCTGTCTGAGTATGGCTTGATTACTCATAACTTTATTCCTTATTTAAACGATGCAGCGACTATGAAATAAGTGCCTACCGTTTTAAGTTCCCATTGCATATTGCATTTTATTATTTAGACTAAAAAGTATGGAAGTTGTATAACATAGATTGAAAGTTATCTGTATCTAAAGTAAAAAAATCTTTCCATTTGAATTTCAAAGATAGTCCTCGTCAATATTTAACGATGAACATCTATCTTCGCTAATACTGTTAATTATTATTGCCAGATACGACTACAGTCTGACCACAATGCGAACAATGATACCAGACAATCAAAAAATACCAGACTCCGACTACGATACGCGTCTTGTTCGTGAATGTGGGTTATGAACTAAACTTGTTTTCTATAGCGATTTGCAATTAGCCCCAATTAACCTTTGAACTTGAAGAA